AAGTCCAAAATTCCTAACCCCTTCCCTTGAGGCCTTAGCAATGTCAGCCTTTTCCCTGCCTTCTCATTCAGCCTGATTTGTCTCTCAAAGTGGTGGAAACACTGGGACCTGGCGAGCTTATCCCTTCCCCCCACAAAAAAATAATGCACATTGCTCTTTGGGCATAGAGAGTCCCAAAAGCAGTGGGGAGAACCACTTCCTGAGGTTTGCCTCTGATCCATGAATAGCTGAGGTGACGGGGCATCCACCAGGGCAGGGGGAACAGGAATGCCTTCCTTTCAGCAGCTCACCTTCTGGATCTTCACAGCACAGGGAGAGGGGCCACAGGGACTCAGGTCCTTTCCCTACAGATTCTCCAGCCCCCTTTATTGCTCAGCTCCAAAGCTCTTTCCATCCACTCACCCCATCAAAGCTCAGAACTGTGTATGGCAGAGCACACGAAGATGGATGGGACAAAATCAAATTTCCTCCTGTTCTGTGTGCAAGTGGTTGGTTAAGTGACACTCCAGAAGACAGCAGTAAAGGGGAAGAAGGAAAAGCAGGCCAGGCGGAGAAGTGAGACAGTGGTGAGGTTTCTGGATCCGCATCCCAGGCAGACAGCTCCCTAGAGTTCCTCCTACCTCCAGAGAGTCAGGGGGACCTGGCCGCAGGCATGACTGGGGAGAGCCAGGGGTTAGATACTCCTAGGTATTCTCCTCTCTGCGCCTGCATGCAGTTCTAGTAGCTCAGGAAGTCTGGGTAAGACCTGTGCCATCTTAGGGGAAGGACTGCCATGGGGCTATGATGACAGGCTGAAAGAGTCCCCCATGTCCCCAGATAGCATCAGAGGCCTGGGGTCACCTATCCCCTGGTTCTTATCCTATTGAACAAGGGAGACTGCATCTGAGAGAGGACACAGAGCAGCAGAGGAGGCTAGGAAAGGCAAGCATGTGGCAGCTCTGAGACCCTCCCTTTCCAGAGCCAGTCCATGTCAGAGATGTGCTGAGCTTGGTGGCTAAGAGTAAGCCCTCTACTTAGGAGACCCTACTCAGATGAGGCCTCTCCAGGGGGACTCTCTGAAAGGGGACTGGTGCCCCTCCCTAAGGTCCCCACTACTCTCTTCCAGAGTTCAAGAGCTTGGGGACCAGAGCCATGACATTAGGAGAGACAGCTTATTCTCTCCTGCTGGAGATCTACAGGGGGACCCTAATGTCAAGTTGGACCTCACAGAGGGGCACCTCTAGTCAGGCTGTGGTATGAGGGAAGGAAAGGCTTGCTGGAGGAGGATGGCCGTGTTACAGACCACCCCAGTTCTGCAGCCAGGCAAGGTCAGCTCCAGTGGGCACGAACCCTGGGGACCACCAGGCATAGTTCACTGTCAGAGAAGATCAGGGCTTTACAGCTTACTTCTGCAGGGATTACTTTCGGCTGAAATCCTGTGAGACTTAGGGGAAAATCTGCCTTCCTTCTGGGCCTCAGTTTCCCCCTCCTGTGCTAAGTATTCCTCCTACCTTTTAACCTGAACAGACTCTTTTCTTTTTTTTTTCCCCGTTGGGTCAGTTCCTACCCAATTCAAGCTGAGGAGAGTCCTTCAGCCTAGTCCCTCCCCAAGAGACAACCTCACCCCGAGGCACACACCGTTTTCAAATACCTCAAATAAGCTTCGCTGGGAAGACAACAAAAGGCTGGAAAGGGGAAGCTCCCTGTGTGGACATCTTGTGAGCATGTGTGCCTCCTCTCCCTCCATCCTTATCTCCGGACCCAGCTGCAAACTTGATGTATTTATTTGCTCTGATGTGTGTAAGGGGGCGGGGCTCCGTCCAACCCACGAGTCTGCCAGCACTGTGAGAAAGTGACCTTCCTGCTGCTGTCTGTCTTCTAGCCAGGTGGGGGCCAGAAGGAGGCAGGAACGGCTATAAATCCCTTTAGCCTGCCAACAAGGGGGTGACCCCATCAGGGTGAAGGACATTGTGGAGTGGGGCTTGGACAAGTGGGGATAGGACCACCTAAATTCTAAATGCACTGGGATCAGGGAAGAGGGGACAATAAGAAGAGAGGAAAGGGGGTAAGGGAGGGGAAAGAAGGAGAGGATGGTGTTGGGGTGGGGGCGAAAGCCTGTTTGTTCTGGGGTCAGCACACAGGCTTCTTTATTGAGGAGGGAGGTGGCTGATGTCCCATTGTGTTGCATGCGTTGCTCGTTTGTTAAGGGTCAGTACTTGTTTAATCCTTGGAAGTGATACAATATGTATAATCACCCTTAATTTGCACACAATGGGTGCAGTTTTAGACAATCAGGCAGACAACTCCGTTTTATACTGGTCTTATCGCTCTGGTATGACTTGCTGGCTTTCTGGAAATGTTCTGTGCTTAGCTAGCTGGGTTTTGTAATCAGCCTTGCTATCAAGTGAGGATGTTTGTAACATGTATGAGCTGCATTGTTCTCCAGGCAGCTGGTGTCGGAGAGAGAGAATTCCTTTGAGATGAGTTTAAGGAAGTTCTCTGAGCCAAGACTGAAGGAATTTTTCCCCTCACTTGACAACAAACACATTTTGTATGGTTGGATAGGGACTTCCTAACTTCCTGGTTGAGTGAGAGACAGAAACAGAGATATGTGTATATTTTTATATGGAGAGAGCGAGTGCAAAGTCTAGATCCTTCTCTCATCAGGCACCTTCTTCATTGAGGGCCAGTGTGTGTGGAGCTAACATGTATATTCAGAGACAAAAGCAAATGATGGTCTGGTCTACTCTTGCTGAGCCTCAGCCTCAGCCTCAGCATCAGCCACTCTGAGGGAGAACCCTGTGTCCTCAGAGAGCTCACCTGTGTCTTCTTTCCTTTCTCTCCAGCTGTCCCCGCCCCCACAGAAGGCTGAGGAGGCCTGTGGCCTCTTCTTACATGCACTGTAAGTGGCCTCTCCAGGAACCGCTCACTCTCAAGAGCGATAGCACCCCCCAAGGGAAGGAAGCTGGTCCCTGCCAGACAGCTGATACCCTCACAGAAGTCACCACTGCTATTTCTCACTGTCCAAACAGCTGCTTTCCATAAGCAAAACTGTGTATGAAAGACAAAAACAAAGTTATCTTTTTGGAGGTCATGAATCTGGAAGTTTCAGAGAAAGCACAGCATAACTAGTATTAAACCTCAGCTGGAGGAATGTGGAAATAGGACAAAATTATCCTGAAAGATTCCTTAGGGGTCAGCAGTAATGAAACAAAATGAGGTTGAGAAATGCTGCCCTAAAATTAAAAAAGAAGAAAATTAGAATTAGGATAAACCTGAGCAGTGGGAACAGAAAGTTGAGGGAGGAAACAGGAGCTTTGAGGCCCTTCATTTCTCATCGTCTGGGACTGGACAATCTGGAAGCCCCTGGAGCTACCCCGAAGCTCAAGGCCACACACCCTATGCAGTGGGGCACACAAATGGTGCTGGCCCAGACATGGGCCTCCTGTGGGGTTGGTTCTGCTTCTGCCATGGGCAAGACAGCTGATCCTGAGCAAGGGACTGGCCTTGAGGTTCCCTGTGTCCACTGGCAGGATGAAGGAAGGGGGCAATGGAGCTTTCTGTGCTAGTGGGAAGGCCTGTCTGGCATGCGAGCTCCCTCCTGAGAGCTGGGAGACTACTCACCTAGAGGTCCTGGGCTCTTGCCCCTAAAGAGAGCAGCACATGCCTCAGTCCCTCCCATGGTTGGTGGGACTTGGCCCCACCGGGGTTCAGTGAGCTGCAGCAGAGCTAGATGCTTTTAAAAGATGGTCCCAGAAAAAGATGCAGCATGCACTGGGGAGCCACGTTAGCAGGTGTTCCTCGGACGCTTCAGGGATTCCTCTGTTGCTGAAGTCACACAGACTAAAGAGTGACTGGCTCTGATTTTTCCTGGATTCCTAACCCTCTCTCCAAATGCGGCGACCCTGAGTCTGACCTAACGTCACATCTTACACTTTACCCTCAGCTGGACTGTAGGTCAAGTCCTCGCCACTGAAACTAGCTTAACCTCCCCCCCCCCCATTCTATTTTGGGCCCTAACCTGGCTCAGCTCTCATTTTCCCATAGTCGTCATCCTAATCTCACCGATTATCCAACATTTCCTAAACCAAGACTGCACTCTTCCATATTCTTGCTCATTTACAGGCTTGCTGTGCTTGTGTCCCTGCTGGGATTATAGTTACCTAAAATTGGTGATAAGTACATGTTAGAATTCCATGTTAGCACCATTCCAAGCAACCGTACATCAGAAACCTACAGAAGTGGTAATATTGGTTTTTGATAGCTGTTCAAATAAATATAAAGAGTTCAACATTTGAAAATTGTTCTCCATGTGTCAGCTACCTAAAGCTGCCTCCTGTAGTTCTGGAAGAATACACAGCTACTACAAAGCATTGGGCTACTTGATGCTTAGGCTGCCAACCTCTGGCCAGACATGCGGGCTGTGGCGCCCTCTGCTGACAGCACCTGGGAGTGGTGTGAGCTTGGCTCCACGTCTATCTGGGCTGGTTCAGCGTCCTGACTCAGTGTGCACCACAGCCAGAGACCTTAGGATAATTGACCATGCCATTCCCTTAACGGAGACTAAAGAGACAATGTGAGAAGGAAACCCTGAGTTCAGGGGAGCTCATTCTCCCATTTAGTGTCAGGAACAGAGCTCTACTGCTCAGTTTACACAAGGTTGTGCCTCACTCTTCTTGGCTTCCAGAGAGCTAGACTCTCCTTCCCCAACACGGTGTTTATTATTATTTTGCTAAGACTCGTTGTTTGTTCTCTTCTGAAGTGGTAACTCTCATTTGTGTGTAAAGTAAGACCTCAAGTCACAAACCTGATCTTTTGATTGATCCCAGAGATCTCAGGAAGTAAAAATGTAATCTGTATTATCTTATTTACAGGGGACCAGGGAGCGAACAGTGCCCAGTGGGCCACAGGCTACTGAGAACTGAATTCCAGCCTCCTAAAACTTCTGGACCCATAGGTTTGGTTAGTGTGTGTGACGGGCATGTAAATCTTGACAGGATTCTAAAATGTAGCACACACAGCATATTTAAACTGATATATTTTGGTCAAGGTGTCAAGCTGAGACTAAAGCTCTGGGCGAGGAACTTGGGCACACGCAGACAGGAAGTGGGGATGATGGTGGTGTTGCTGAAAAGCCTGCCACCTGGCTGTGCAGTCAGCCAGGGAGCACTATCTGAGATGCTGTGCGATGAAGCTTTGAAAGTTCTAAGTTCCATCCAGGATATCAAAGACAACAGGGGAACCATGCGTCACCAATTTCCTACGCTGCCTCTCACCTCCAATTTATAGGATTTTATTGCCAGTTCTAGAAACATGAAAGCAGGAGAGGACCCAGCAGTGAAGTGCCTGCAGGTCCTGGTCTCTGGCTCCTGCCTATCTCCAGCCAGCCTGGGGCTGGGCCTCAGCTGAGCCCTGTTTTGGTCAGGGATAGACTGGGGACAAGGCTCCACGCTGTCTTGCCAGCACAGCCAGGCTAGAGTCTCGACCTCCTTTCCTCTCCCATCCTCAGCCCCACCCAGAACAAGAGCACTAGCAGAGAGCTGTCAGAGTTGCTGTGGTAGGAATGAGCTTCTATAGAATGCCTTAGAGCAGTGGTTCTCAATCTGTTGGTCAAAACCCGTTTTGCGGGGAGGGTCAAATGAGCCTTTCCCAGGAGTTGCACATCAGATATCCTCCTGCATACCAGATATCTACATTATGATTCATAATAGGTAGCAAAAATAGTTGTAAAGTAGCAATAAAATAATTTCATGGTTGGGGGTCACAACATGAGGAACTGTATTCAAGGGTCCCATTAGGAAGGTTGAGAACCTCTGCCTTAGAACACCATAGGATGAGTCAGAGGTGTGGGCATGCAGCCATTACCCATATGAAAGTAGAGGCCATCAGGCCGTCAAGGCTGGCACTCTGGGCTATCTGGAAAACACCCTGGGAGCAGGAAGCAGGGGATGGGTCAGGGTGAGGAGGTGACAACAGCAGTTCAGGCCACCCCAGGGAACGGCGACCTCCAAGATGACCATAAAGTAGGGGATTGAAGGCTTGGAAAGTGAGGTAGGGCTCATAGTAAGAATGCTTCTCTATTGCACCAGTAACCTGCTGTCTGTGCCCAAAAGCCCAGGCTAGAAGAGCAGGCCGGGGCCTGAGATGCTAACACAGGCTAGCCCACCTCACAGAACACTGGCCTTTCCCTAATCACACTCAAACGTACACAGCCAGGAGCTTTGTCTGCTTCGCTCTGGGGTGACTGTGGTCACCCCAACACTGATGCTCAGAACTGGGCATACAGAGCCGCCTGGAGAAGATGTTAACACTGCAGGCCTACTCCAGAGGCCTCCAGCAGAGCACACAGATTCCCCTTCCCAAGCTCGCCATGCCGCTGCTCCACTGGATGGCTCTAGAAAGGGCTGAGTGCAAGGAGGAGTCGGATGGCCTGGTAGACGGAGTTTGAAGGGTCAGTGTGGAAACAGGGATATGGATGGAGCAACAGCTTCTAGCTCTCTGCTGCTGGAAGGCCACTTTGGAATGAAAGTTCCTTGAAAAAAATGAAAGTGAATACAGTCGGCCTCTGGACAGTGGGGGCTGGGAGAACCCAAATTCACAAGGGCAATTTGGTTTGAAAGGCACTTTGAGTGCCCATGGGGCTGCTGGTATAGTGGTCAGCGTCACCTTAAGAGTATCACTTGTGGGCTATAGCCAGGTCACTTGGGACCTGGATTGAGCATCGGAGAAGAGCTGCAAGGCCACCTGTGGTAGGGCAGGTGGTGAGTGGGGCCATATGAGGGCCAATCAGGGAGTTCAGAGGCCATGCTTATTTTACTCAAGTCCCCCTGATTCTGGCTTCCAGAGGGACGTCTAGGTCCGGGGTGCCTTTGGTGTCTGCTGCAGGAATTTTAGAGAAAGAGAGTCTGGTCCCAGAGAAAGGGCACCTATTCTGAACTAAATGACAACTCTGTAAGAGACCAGGACCTGGGAATGCATTAAAGGGTAGGGCCTGGCTCAGGGATGCCCCACCCTCTGTGCCCACCAACTAATCCAGGAACCCCTTATTTTCAGCTCTGCTGGGAGGCTTTTCTGGCAGAGTTGCCTTCTGCCCTGGCCGGGGCATGCCTTTCCAACAGTCCTTCCATGTAGCTGCTCAGAGCCTGCGGACACTGAGCAAGCTGGGTGTGGGCGGGAGCCCATGAGGTGCTCTGCAGGCTCAGGTACCTCTTCAACCCCTCTTGCCCCTGCCTGTGGTACACATCCAGCAACTCTGGGAAGCTCACGTTGTGGAGGGCCAAGAAGCGGGCCTGGGGCTGGGACAGGACCCTCGCCTGCACCAGGGGCCGCAGGGAAGCAAAGCACTCCAAGTTACTGAACGGGTAGATGTGTTTGGCCAGCTGCTGTCCCGGGGAGACCTCGAGGAGGCAGCACAGGTCTCGCATGGCCAGCACGGCAGCCAGGGCACTCCGTTCGCTCATGTTTCTCGCCAGGTAGGTCTTGGCTAGGTTCCTGAGCTTGAAGCTGCTGGCGCTAGGTATGCGCTCCCGGATGAGAGGCAACACAGCCAGGAAACCGGAGATGGCTTTCTGGAATTCCTGCAGCCTCTTAATGTCATTCAGGGCCTGGAAGAAGATGGGGAGTTCGAAGCCCCACAGCTTCGAACAGGCCAAGATGGGATGGTGCATGGAGGTGAGGAAGTTGAGGAAGTGCTGCAGCCCCACCTCCAAGGAGACGGCCTTAGAGTAGACACTGAACGCCTCAGGCTGGATGAGTACTCGGAACTTGCTTTCCCGGTTCACAGCTGCCAACTGGCTAATTTTCTGGGCTGGGCAGGAAAGAAGGGCAGGGTGAGGTTTCAAGGTTCAGGAGGCACTGGGGTGGGTGGGCTGCTGACCCACTGTCTAGAGATCCCACTTTGAGGCCTGCTGGCAGGAACCAAATATCTTCCGTATGTAGTTCTTGCCTGGCTCTGACGGAGAGGAGTCGGAGGGGCTCCCCTGCCGGGCAGCTGACTCCTCCTATCCCTCCTGCTCTAGTTTGCCCAACCCTTAGAATTCTGCTCCTTTTGTATTTTCTCCGCCTCTGCCTCCAACAGAGACTCCAGAGTGTTTCTTATGGGCCTTCTATTCTATTCCCACCTCCAATCTCATTGGTCCCGGCTGGAGCAGGGCCCTGGGCTGCACTGCCTAAGAACATGGCCCGGAGTCTCCCCATGGAGCCTGAAGATGGCTTTTTTGTGCTATTTCAGAAATACTTGATGCTCTGGCCGGCTGGGCTAGCCTCAAGAGCAGGGCCCGTACCTGTTGGCCAGGGTACAGGGCCAGAGCTGAGGGGCCAGGGCAAGGCTGACAGGAAGAGAAGAGGCTTCCAGAGAAACAGTCACAACTCTCTGCAGGCCTCCCTGTGTATCCATTTGTGGGATGGGCCCTGTCCTAGGAAATGTGTGTGGTCACAGCCCAAGGTCAAGTGTGGATTACTGGTCAACAATGAGCCAACACACTGTTCTCAGCCTCTTTCTATACAGAGAGAAGGTTTTGTCAGAAGTGAACCTATGGAGTTACATGTCTCCCATGCTCAGGATCCACTCCAGGCAGCCATGGCAACATTTGGCATCCCAGGTGGCTCAGAGTCCTCTGTCCACCTGGCTGTCATGGCCTCCAGTGCTAGCGGCTGGCTGGAGACTTAGAGTTGACCCTCCCTGTATTTTTCGTGGGGACTCAGAGACTAAGCTAAAAAGAGGTAGGGCGGCTCTTGGGGAACGCACTTTCATTGTCAATCTTGAGGTCAAAGAAAACCAGGGTCCTGTCTTCTGAGCAGGGCTCGGCGAGGCTTTTGTCCAGTGCCTTGAGGGAATTGGGACCCTCCAGCTGGAGGCCGCTGGACTCGCTGCTGCTGTCATCCAGCTCGTGGGAGGACTGCAACACAAAGAGGTCAACAGGTCAGGAGTTCAGAGGCCTGAAGGTCCAAGGCAAGGTGAGCCTGCGCCCTGGAGCAAGCGTGCACGCAGAAAGATGGAGAAATGTTACCGGCTGGCACAGAGTGGGTGGATTAGTGGGAACACGCAAGCGTGTGTGCAGGTGTGAACTGGGTGTGTCCCATGTAAGGGTCATACACATGAACTAGGGCGCCGGCTTGGGGAGGTGTGAAATGGTAAGACTGTGCAGATGAGCACTGGGCGTGTACAGATGTGTGCGTGGGGAAGCACGCATGAGAGTGGATATGAACTGTGTAAGATGCGGTGGGGCTGGGGCTGGGGCTGGGGCTGCTGTGGTGGCTCAGGGAAGGGGCAAGGCCTGAGATACCTGCTCCTAATGTCATCTCTCTGAGCAGCCTCAGAGGAAACAGCACAAGTGGGGACAGGAGAAAGGAGCCTAATCCACAACCCCAGGTGATTTTTTTTTTTTTTTTTTGGAAGGGGGAGGAAACTGGCTTTCCTAGTCCTCAAAGCCCGCCTGACCCACAGTGTCAGTATAGGCAACGGCTGCTTGGCCTCCTGAAGTCTACATGTAGGTGGATACACACTCCCTGGCTGGGAGATGGTCCTCAGATCCTGGAGACATTCAGACCTCAGCTGCACAGGGGAGCCTCGGAGCTCTGGGACACACTCCAGGCTTCCAGTAAGGCTCTGCTCTCCAGCATGAAGGCTGTTCTGGCTGGAACCAACATCTCAAAGGCCTCAAGGATGGGAAGGGCTCTCTCTATCTGAGATTTCCCCCGGAGTGGGGCTATACTCTGAGGATAATAAACAAAGTTATGCATTAGCATAGCAGATGAATGCCCCACAAACAGCACCTTTGGACATTAGCTGGAGCCCAGGAGGAAGAGACAGGACAGGGTCTCTGGGCCAGATGGGGGAACTGCTGGGAAAAAAAATGCAGATCAGGCCCCAGGTGTGTCTTCTTACAAACTGCTCTGGTCTCAATGGAGTTATCACCTGTGGGGCTGCAGCCTCTGGCTTGAGAGACAGTTAGCACACCTGCTGTCCTAGCTGTTGTTTTTGTTAGCTGGACACAGCTAGAGTTGTCTGAGAAGGAAGAACTACAATTTGGGAAAATGCTGCCATGAGATTGGCTTGTAGGCAAGCCTGTGGGGGCATTTTCTTACTTAGTGATTGGTATGGAGGGGCAAAGCCCACTGTGGGTGGTGCCACCTCTGAGCATATGGTCCTGGGGTATATACAAAAGGAGGCTGAGCAAGCCAGGAGGAGTAGCAAGATAGTAAGTAGTTCTCCTCCACGGATTCTGCATCAGTTCCTGCCTTGAGTTCTTGCACTGATTTTCCTGAATGATGGACTGCAGAGCTGTAACCTGAAATAAACCCTCTCCTGCCCAAATAGCTTTTGGCCATAGAGCTTATCATCCACCCTTCCAAAACACTTGCTTTCCATAAGGGTTCCACCAAGAAAAGTCAAATTTCTCATTAGAAAGCTAAGGGCTGGGCTTTCCTACAGGAGGCTGCTTTTCACTCAACTTACATTTTGTAGTCCTGCGCCAGGCACCCTAACTTACTCCTGACTGCCTTGCACCCAGAGACCTCACATTGCTTTGCCTTCCCTATGAGGACCTTTATGGAGGCATCTTCCTATTTCTTTTTTATTTTATTTTTTTATTATTAGTTACATTTTATTAACTCTGTATCCCAACTGTATCTGCTCCCTCATTCCCTCCCAAAGCCTCCCTCCCTCTCCTCCCTGCCCCTTTCCAAGTCCATTGATTGGACTTGGAAGTGGATTCCAAGTCCATTGCCCCTTTCATCTGATCCTATCTTCCTATTTCTAAGCTGAAGGCAGTGCACCCTGTCATCTTCTCCATGGAAGAATCTGGTCATTTTCTGTCTGTGGCTTCCAGTGTCTGTTCCTTTGCTCAGGGTTTCTGTCTGAAGGCTTGAGTATCTATCCTCACACTTGGGCGGGTAGGCAGAGATGAGCCACCCTGGCCATGTCCTTCTCTAGTCTGGGTTCACTCTTGCCAGCTGCTGAAGAGGTGCGTCACCAGCCAGTCGATTCTGCTACCAATGACATGACCCATGGGCTTCCTCTTCCTTGGTCTTCCTTCTTGCTTCAAACATTACTGCAAAAGCCCCTCTGTGGTCCCAGGTGCTTCCACCCAACTCCCTCCTTCGGGCGATGTTCCCTCAGGCCTTGGAAGTGGTTTTAATGCCTTGTGGGGCATTCCAAGGGCAAGACACTTGGAGTGCCACTTGGCTGTACCTTCTGGTTACTGCCTCCCTCATCACACCACGCTGTTTATGGCAGGAAACCTCATTTCTGAATCCGCCTTCTCTGAGGGAATCTGTGGTGTCTAATCCACAGGATGAGCTGTGGTTGGAGGAAAGGCTGGGTCTGTCTTTTAGCCTGGACACTGCTTGGAGCTGCCGTGCACCATGGCAGAGGCTGGTCTCACTGGAGCACCGTGTACTTAAGCTAGGCAGCTGGAAACCCCCTATTCATCTCTCCTCTTTAATCTCAAACCAGCTTGGCAGTAATAGACCAAGACATTTCTAAGGACAGAGCCTACAGGAAGGGCACACAGAGCATCCGGCACTAGCCAACTTTCCCTCCTGGATCACCTCTGTGGCCACACTGGTAGCCCTCATGCCTTCATCTTATTTCAAAAATCGGAGTAGCTGGGTGTGGAGGAGGAGGGAGGGGAGAGAGAGAGAAAGAGAGACCGATACACAGAGACAGAAACAGAGAGGGAGAGACAGAGACACAGAGAGAGATAGGTCAAGAAACTTGCTTGTGGGGGAAAGGGAAATGGAGGCAGAAAGAGAGGGCTGAGAAAAGAGAGGTCTCACCCAGGGGTGAGCACAGCAAGGGAAGGGTGACATATACTAAGAGTGGAGTGGACTGATGATGACAGCCCAAGGAGTAGGCTGGGGGACCTCAGTGTCACTGTGTGCTGTAAGCTTTCTCCCCTTCTCTGTTGTCCCACAGAGGCAAGAGACAACCTTTCTTGTCCCTCCTCTACAACACCCACTATGCAAACATCACTTCCTTCAAAACAAATGAACATTCCCTGTCACCCACATGTACAACTGAATCACCCAGTCCAGTGGTGCTTGACTTTTAGGAACATAGAAGTCCAGGCTGCACATGGGACAGTTCAGTTAGAATCTGTACTGGTGGGATCCAGCAATGCGTAATTGCTTAAACCCCTCAGCGCAGCGCCAGGCTTGAAACCCTGGTCTACACGGGCACTCTTTCCATGTTTGATCATCAGCAGAACAGACATAAGCCAAATCTTTCGGGAAGCCAGCATTTAGCTTGAGGAGCCATCCGGTATCTTCTATCAAGGGTTGTGATCCCGAGGAACTTTCTCAGCACCCATGCTTCAGCTATAGCTGGACTCAGTTTAGCAAGACACGTACGTCTCTGGGGTTTACAGACACAAACTCGTGGCTCCTGTAGTCTTGAAGCCGTGGAGACACAGCACATATATTGGCAAACTGGACCACCTAACTGGCCCGCTGCTCCAGCCCTTCTGCAGGCAGCTCTGCTCTTAGGCAAACAGTTCCCACCTTCTCAGCCAAGCACCCGCCTCACGTTCTGTAACCATGATTGATACCTGCTCCAGCTACTGCCCCGGGCCTTTCTTCCTCTGCCAGTCATCTTTGCTGGGTCTGCCATAGGCTGCAGCCCCTGGCTGGACCCCTCCCTGCTTGGTCCTGCTGCTGCCCAGGTTCTGGTCATCTGTCATAAAAATGGGCGACAAGAACTATCTCCTCTGCTCTGACTCTTCAAACAGTGGCCCGGCAAGGTACAGGGCTCACCTGCCCTCCCACTGTTTAAGCACAGTTTTGTCCCATGGACTCTACAAGAGACTAGGACTTGCCTTCTGCTTCAAACCTGAGACCCTGCTGCCTCACCCAAGACACTTTCAAGACAGACCTACCTGCTCAGTCTCTCCCCTCAGACAGGAAAGTCTTCTACTAGACAGAGCTGCAGACCACACTGAGGCCTACCTCTACTGGATCATCTGGAAACGGTGGTACTTCAGCAAGCCAATACTATAGAACAGCCCTTCACTGCAAAGCAGAGCAAAGGCCCTACACAGAGTATACCGGCATGGGTAGCCTGGATGGGTAGCTGCAAAGTGGGGATTTGTGGGGAGGTATGCTATAGTGCCTCAGGGGCTTGGACAGGTCCTAGAGGATGAGAGTAAAATGCATAAGGGGACCTACTTCATTTTTAAGCTTGGGGCTCTTGTAACGGTTTTTACATGTATACACAAAAGTAGTGGATTCTTCTTTTCTGCTCCCCAGACTTGCTCTGCACAATAAACAATGCTTTCCAGCTTGTCACCACTTCCTAACCGGAAATGTGTATCTCTCTCCTCCCTTGGCGACCCTGATGCCCCACTGATGGTGGGGTTGGACCCCTCTTCCTCTTCTGACCCACTACACTGCTGGTGGCATCTCCTGAGCTCAACTATGCACAATGTCCAGGAAACTACTGAAATACTTTTCTCCACCGTTCATTCCTAGGTTTCCACTTCCAAGTTCAGTAGCTTGAACTTTACCAAGAATGGTGAGAGAGAAAGAAATGTCCAGGGAACAGAAGAATATAAGCCATGGAGAGGCAAGGATCAAATTTTGGCTGGAGGTGAGAAATAATTAAAAAGGAGTGCCCGGGGCTCTCAGTTTGTAAGCAGATGGTAAGTGATAACACGAGGAGAGAAAAAGAGAATGTGTGTGGCACCTATGAGGCTTCTAGGCAGAGCTGTTAGAAGGCCCTGGTCTAGCAGACAGGAGCCAAGCTGTCCATGGGCATCAGCAACTTCTGGGCAACAACTATCAGAGTGGGCTGCACTTACTCAGACATTGTACAGAGCATAGGCAAAAGAAAGCCCAGAACCAAAGCCAGAATGCCAACCTTCACAAGAGCAAGGAGACCTAGACTAAAGCACCCAGAGATGCGAAGAGAAAATGGACTTCTGGGGAGAGGCTAACCCAGTCAAGAATGCTATGAACTGTCTAGGGCCACTGTACTGAAAAGCCTGGTGCTGACAGGCTGTGGTATAGGCATGGTGGGGAAGTAGAGTAGGATGAGATGCAATGTAAAGCACGGGCTAAGGGGGAAAGCAGGGAGTGGGCAGAGACTGGCAAGAAGGAAGTGGGTTAATCAGAAGACACAGGGCTGGGCATGAGATAGTGAGGCTTCTCACAGGGCTGGGGCTGGGTTAGCATAGGTGTGGGTCTTAGAGGCAGGCCAACTTCCCATCCAAGTAAGCAGAAGGGAAGATGAAGGGAAATGACAGCAAATTACAGGCAGATCTGTAATTATATAGCAGATGCTAAGAGAGTTTGTTTCCTCCCAGGAGAAGGATGTATAGTCAATATGTTAGCGTGAGGATCAGGATGAAGCCCAGAGGAGAAGGGTCTCAGGAAGCCAAATGAGAACAGCAGGATGTGACAGAAGGTCTTTGCTCTTTGCCTTCCTTTGTGGCTTTTCTCCAACATGTCTCCAGGGAGCAGCAAAGAGTCAACAGGGCCCCAAATCTTTGGGTGGTTGTTTCTGCCAGCAGATCTCCATGAGACAATGACTGAAACAGGAAGAGCTGGAGGGAGGTGATGGTAAGTTTGAGTGCTCAAGGAACATGAGGCTGTGGTCTGAGTCAGAACAGTCCATTTAGAGATGGTGTCCAGGCACACGGTGCAGCCAGATGAAATGACAGGCTGAAGATCCTTGAGAGGTCAAGGAGTGGAGGTTACATGGTAGGTGCTGAAATCAACCAGGAAGAACGCAAGACATGACAGGGAAGAAGGAATCTATGGGGCAGATGCTCTTATCTTCCCTCCATGAGTGGGGGGTGGGGTGAGCAGATGTCAGGGACAAACTGGGGAGATAGGGTTACACCCTAAGAAGGAGCTGCACCTCAAAACTACCAGGTGACAGGCTGTAACAGTGCAGGCCTTACTCTAATTACCACTGTGTATGCTCCTAAGTGTGGAAGGAAGAAAGCCACAGTCTCCCCCAGAGAAGAGCTAAGTTTCTTGTAGGGAGAAGACAAATGTCCCAACAGGAAAGATCCTGCCTGGTATCCAAAGGCCATGGAATAAGGGTTCACAATGGAGATGATTTAACAAGTATTTATTGAGCAGTCATACCTGCCTGGCCTTGGGATGGACAGAATGTCTGCATTCATGGGCAGGGACATCCTGCCACAAGACTGCAGAGAGTGGGACAGGATGGCAAGCAGCCACGGAGGAAGGAAGAACTCAGGTTCTCAGAGGCCCATCTGAGAGAGAGAAGGTCCAGGCCTGGACTGGTAAGGATACGGCCTCTTGGGGTAGGTAGGATGATGATAATAAAATTTCAAAGACTTCAAGGTGGGCCCTGAACTTGGGAATCCTCCAAGGGGGCTTTGTCAGAATCTCTTTTAGAGTCTTTGTTAGAATCTACATGAGCAGCACCCACACAAGAAGCATTAGGCCAAGAAGCCATGGAGGAGAGAGGGAAAGTAAGTTGCATGGTTACTGGTGAAAATCTGGGGAGCCCTGGGGGGAGTGCCCAAGGGACCGGAAGGCTCCGTGCATCCAGGAGTGTACTGATGCCCCTCTGTGTGTGAGCATTCGCAGGGTGCCTGGGAAGCACTGCGGTGGCAGGGGTGGTGACCTGAGCTACAAAAGGAGGCCTGCCTCGGAGCGTAATAACCCCAGGGGCCAGGCCCCGAAGGGTGTGATGAAGGCAGGTGGCTCTCCTTGCTTTGTTTAAGAAAATGCAGATCTGAGAGACGATGGTAGCGTACTTCTGGCAAGCGGTAGGCTGGCTGGAAGATGCTGTGTCAGAGATGGCAGCTTGCTCAGTGGGATGATGAGAGGGCCAAACTGGTGGGTGCAGGCGCCTTGGTGAAGTCTGCAGGCCCTGCTGGGGTGAGAGGTCCAATGAAGGTGGGCAGCTTTTTGGGTGCTCAGCAGGGAGGAGTGTGCTTGTGAAGAGGGTACTGTAGTGGCATCCAGCAGCTCTGCATACTTTCCAGTGAGGAAATCAGACTGTGGGCTTGTCGACCCCAAGTCTAAACTCTCATTCTACTCAGGCTTCACTTTCCTTGGACACTTAACAGCCTAGTCTCTGATAACATACCTCCAAGTACAGAAGAGTCACTGGTTTCATTCTAAGATGCCCTCAAAGAAGTTTTCTAGCACGAAGTAAAATCTTGCATATGGCTTCTGTGATGGTTTGCATGGGAATGTTCCCCATAAGCTTGTATGTTTGAATACCAGCTGGTGGAACTGGTTGGGAAGGATTAGGAGGCATGGTCTTGTTGGAGTAGGTGTGTCATTGGGAGCAGGTTTTAAGGTTTCAAAAGCCCATGTCATTCCCACTTAGCAGCTCTCTTTGCAACTTGTGTTTGTGGATCACAAACTTGAGTTTTTGAGCTCTCAAGTGCTGCTCCAGTACCATGGCTGCCATGCCCCTGCTGCGATGGTCACGGACTCACCCTCTGAAACTATAAATCCCAATAACCTCTAGGAAGAGGGTATTGGTGCCTACAAGATGCCTTTGTCATGATGTCTCTTCTCAGCAATAGAAAAGTAAATAAACATCTTCTGTCCATTATTTGTTGCCCCTGGACACACTATCCATCACCACCCTTCACTCACTGATTTTGTTGTTGTTGTTTTGTTTTGTTTTTCAGACAGAATCTCTCTACACGGCCCTGGGTATCCTGGAACTCACTACGTAGACCAGACCAGCCTTGAACTCACAGAGATCCATACCTGCCTCTGCCAAGTGTTGGAATTAAAGGTGTGAGCCACACCATGCCCAGCTCATCGATTAACCAGGAAATGAACTCTTTTCCAGCTTTCCTCACGGAGAACTCAGCAGATTGCAAATACATAAGGAAGCTCTAGGCAAAGGCTTTGGCTATTCCAGAGGCTAGCCAGCCCTGGAGGCAGCAGCCCAGCAAGCATTCTTGCCTGATGCAGTAAGAGGGCCAGGGTACAGTAAGCATGCTGCTGGTATTTGCAGACTGTCCTAGGTACAGCTTAGGTTTTTATTGCTTTGCTGGAAAATTCCCAGGTGCCAGGTGAGCCTGAGAGTCACCTGCAGTGGCTGTGGTCTTTGGGATCTTGAGTGAGGGTAGGAAAGAGTCCTAGGCTGAACTCCAAGTTACTCACCAGATTCCCGGCATCTGAGTCTTCCGAGCTGCTGATCACCACGATTCGATCCTCTGAAATGGAGAACAGGTGACAGCATTAAATCCTTCCTGGGATGTCCACCGGCTGGGGTGAACCATCCAGGAGAATCCTTGTAAGCCAATGGGCTGAGGGTGATGGATGTGCATTAGGAGGAGAGGGAGTGCATACATCCACAAAGCACAGTGTTTGGCACTGGCAGAGTTTTGGAGGAAAGGAGGCAGAACTAGGGCACAGTCCCTCAGGCGTCCCACAGCCAAGTACAGGGTAAATCAACCTACTCAGAGCAACGTAAGCATGGGAATCCCAGTGGCTTTGAGTGCCCAGGTGGGATCAGAATGTGGGGCGGGGCCTAGGGGTGTTCCAGATGTCTGAGGGCAGCATGAAGTACAGAGAGCACAGGCTCAGGCCCTGTGGTACCCAGGTTCTTCCCTCCTACCTGTTTCCCCTGTGTTGCTGGCAACATGGTTGTTGGTGGGCAGGAGGGTCTCTGTTTCCAGGATGGAGCTCTCAGGGCTGGAAGCCCTATCCAGGTGGGGAGGTGAGATGGCCTTGGAAGTGCTGGGCCTGGGCTGTTCAGGAGAGCTTGTGGCCAACCCGTCCTCCTTCTCCCCTGTGGACTCCATCTTGATGATCTTCCTGGAGCAATCTGTGTGGTTGCACTTCCTCTTCATGGGAAGTTGTGTCTGAGAGGCCTCCTGCACAGTGGGGAATTACAGGGGAGTCAGGTACCTCTTGTTCTGCTGGGCTGAGACCCTGAGCTGAGCGCCAGGGGCTTGTGGCATGATTTTGCTCCTGTTCTTTTGGCCTCGGTGACCATGTCTCTACAAATGGGAAGCTCTCTCAAGTTGCCATGAACACTGGTCAGCTGGGCTCAAGAGAGTGAGCTTGAGAGTGGCTCAAGCTTACTGTGAGCTTCCTGGGGGAGCATCCCAGAGCAATGGAGAATAGGGAAGCTCAGAGTCCCACCCAGCCACACCTCACTGTTGGCTGGAGTCTCAGTCTTTCCAGTTGAGGCAAGACTGAGCAGGGGGCTTACCTCTTTATAGGTGGGGGCTGTCATAGAGCAGGCATACACTGGCACGGGGTGCGCTCCAGGCACTGACTTCACCACAGCCACAGCTTGGGTCTGAGACAGCTCCAGGGCCTGAGCCTGTGCTCTCTGTACTTCTTTAGGCTGCAAAATCAGGCAACAGAAAGTAAGAAGTGACCAAGGACTCTGGGCTTACAACCTGCCTCAGTTGTAAGCTTCTTGGTCACAATGGAAGAAGTAGTTCTCCCCAAACCCTCCACGAGGTCACCTCCTTCTGACCTTGGGTTGCTGGTACTTAGGCACCACTTCACAGCACCCAACTCCTCAGAACATGCCTGACAACCAGCCTCGTTTGCACTCCTCTAGAGACAAGCTGCTTGCTTTTGGAAGCAGCACCCCGTCAGCAAAGAGAAACTCTGAGCTCCGCCTCCTATGAGCTCGCCTCTACCCCCAAGTCCACCACACAAGCTGGAATTACTTAAACCCACTGGGCCTCAGTCTCCTCCAGAATATGGGATAATAACAATTGCTTCATACAGCAATGTGGATGAAATGCACCAAATACCATCAACATGCCTGTTAGACTAGTTCAGCTGGGCATGGTGGCACATGCCTTTAATCCTAGCACTCAGGAGGCAGAGGCAGGTGGTTTGCTGTGAGCTCGAGGCTAGTCTGGTCTACAAAGTGAGTCCAGGACAGCCGAGACTACACAGAGAGACCCTCTCTTGAAAAATCAAAACCAAACCAAACAAAAACAAAAACTAGTTCTTACAGAGTCCATTAGTGAGGGTGATGAGGATGGCTAATGAATACAATACTTTGCACTGTATTTGATTTGACTACTATTCTGTGTCAGACTTGGTGGTCAGTGTTTTGTTTATCTATCACAAAATGAAACAGGAGCAGTTCCTCAAAAAGTGAAAAAGGCACCAGAGAGGTGGCTCAGAGAACTGACTGCTCTTGAAAAGGACCAGGGTTCAGTTCCCCACAACCACAGAGCAGCTCATAACCATCTATAATCACGGTTTTAGGAGATCTGATACCCTCTCCTGGTCTCTGCAGGCAGTGCACACTCATAACCATCTGTAATCACGGTTTTAGGAGATCTGATGCCCTCTCCTGGTCTCTGCAGGCAGTGCACACTCATAACCATCTGTAATCACGGTTTTAGGAGATTCGATGCCCTCTCCTGGTCTCTGCAGGCAGTGCACACATACGGTACACTTACATGCAGGCAAAACATTCATACACATACAACGAAAGTAAATAAATCTCTTTTTAAAGTGAAAGAATTACCACATGGCTTACCAAGTCTCCTCCTAGGTACTAGCTCAAAAGGACCAAAGGTAAATGCTCAAATGCAAACTTGTACATGGGTCTGGGCAGGCAGTTCAGGGGTAAAGCACGTACCAAGCCCTGGATTCGATCTTCAGAACAGGACCAAAATGTTTAACCATGTTATCTTTGCCTTTATGGTTCTGCAGTTGCTGGCATATAAAAGGCTCTCATTCTGCTTAGGCCTGGAAGACCCAATAGGGAAGGCTGGGTGCCTCTGCTTCTGTTCTCACAACATACCACTGACCAGCATTGAAGAAGCAAAGAATAATAAGGGGGAAAGTCACACTGATTTATAGTTGTCTTAGAGTTTTAAAATCATAAATACTTTCCCTCCTGGGCAGTGCTGTGAGGGCCAGAGCTGCCTTTCTTGGCAGGACCGACGATGCAGCCATATTTCCCATAAGGGAGGTCTGTTTTCCCCTTGCATAGCCTTTGCTCCCACACACTGCTACCCACTTCTTTCCTGAGTCCTATCCGCAGCCCCCAGGTGGTCACTACAGGAAAAAGCAGAACATTCTGTAAAGAAGAGCACTGCCCAAGTTCAAGGTCAAACTGCTTCACAGCTGAGTCTCTTTGGGTCTTAACTACATCCCTGAAAGAGGATTTTGACTCCATGCTCTCTTGCAGCTCTAAAATTCTCAAAGTCCTGCCTCTCTCCTATATAGGGAAACCTTTCCCTATATAGCCCACAGCAATCTCTTTCCCATGGGTCTAGGCAAAGCTAGAAAGGCTTAACACCCTTGCTGCCCACCGGGAGATCTGCTTGTTCTGGGCCCATGTCTTGACATGCAGCCACACACAACAGAGTGACCAGGCTGGGTAGGGGAAAGATGCCAGGTGCAGGAAGGAACTGAGAGAGCATATCCTACTTCAGGGGTGCCATGCCTATAAGTGTTGGTGGGGGACAATGGAAAGGACATCTGTGCATTTCTACCCTAGGAAGCACTAAGTCAGAGCAATCAGAGCAGGGGGTACCACCTCAAGAAGAATGAACTTCCTATCTCCAAAGGTGCGTGCTTGAAAGTCACTCACTCAAGGGTGCAGCAGAGGAAACGCCAACATGAGATTACCTAAGGATGTCTTCTAACCCTGAGAAACTGTATTTGCAGTGTACATGATGGCTCTGCAATCTATGGGATTGAGCTCTGACTCCGAGCCTTGTAGTCCAAGAACCATGTAGGTCACGGTGGAGGTCCACCTATGCCAACCACAAAAAAACGGCTCAGACATTTAGGGTGAGCTTCAGGGATACCCAGTGTCACATGTCACAGGGTCACTGCTTACATTCACTTCCTTCACCTTGGAGCTGACCCCTCCTGAACTGGCTCATGGCCCATCAAGAGCTACCTGGGCATTTTGACCCTGCGCCAGCCAGCCAACCCTTCCTTAACACCCTCTTCCTGAGAGCTCCAGCCCAGCCACTCACTGTCCTCTCTCAGGCACTCTCCCTGTAGCCACATGACCTCAGAACTCCCAACCACCTCTCATCACACATCAAACCCCTCTCACCTGCTCAAGGTCAAAAGAGTCCACGGGAGTGCTGGCTGCCTCTGGGCTGGCTCTCCTGGCTACAGCTGTATCCAGGAAAAAAACAGAGAGAGCACAAGGGTACTCTAGTAAGGAGAATTCTGGGCTGGGACAGTGACAGGGAGGAGGTCCTTGTTGCTTTTCTTGGGTATTCATTATTGAGCACATCTCCACAGAGGGGCTGGATACCTTTGGCTTTAAATCCCAAATTCATATCTTTTCATCTCTGGGGAATCTGCCTAGATGGGGAAGATCCAAGTCTATCTCCATTCTAGAACCATCCTTTTATGAGCCCACCATTCATAAGGTCGAGGAGGGAGACCTCCATCCTCAGAAGCTGCCAGGAGCAATAGGGGCACCTCTCAATAGCTGGACAGAGCTAACCTTCCAGCATAAAGACATAAACAAAAGCCCTGGAGGTGTACACGAGCACGCACGGTCTTTGTTTGGAAAGGCCCTCGATGCCACCAGCTCATTCAGGACACAGCCCTGGATTTTGATTGAGAGCCAAGCATGTCTCTAGCTATGTGGAGTGGCCCAGGATCCTCTCCCAGTTGGACAAGACAACTTTTGAGGTCAGGGAGTGGCCTACCAGAGCCCAGTACCAGAGGCTCTAAGACCTGAAGGTTGTCCGTTGGCTGCTTGGTCCAAGGGGAATTCTGACCAAGTACCTCATGGCTAGGCTTTCCCAGCCACCTCCTCTCCTAACCTTACATCCCAGTTGACTTCTCTCTTCCTGGACATGGGGTGGGGGTGGGGGGCTTAAGAGACTCCTAGAGTGGGCTGCAATGATACCACATCCGGTTCTCAGCCCAGTTCTGCATCTTCTCAGTTTCCACATGCTCCCTGAAGTCACATCTACTCCAGTCTTCTTACAAGTTAGCAAAGTGCCTCCTCCGGGTGCCTGCCACACTGGATCAGCATATCCTCCTCTTCTGCCTTCTGGATCCTAAGACCTGATGCTCGTCTTTCACCTCTCTTTTCTGTTTCACCTTCCCCGGGGGGCCGCTTTAAGTGACAAACCAGCTGCCTATGAGTGTGGCCTCAGCACTTACCAGTCTTCCGGGCGATGCACGAGATGAGGTCCTGCAGGCACGTCTTAAACTCCTCGAAGCCACTGGTGCGCAGCTGCACTTTCTGGTTCTGGGGCTCCTCCTGGCGCAGGCGGCGGAGCGCCTCTCGCAGGAAACAGTGCATGTCTAGCACCTCCTGGTCAGAGGCATAGAGCTTCATTCTCTCGACCAGCGCCCCGCCAGTGCGGATGCGCTGCAGCACCGCTTCCAGGCGGCCCAGCTGACCGGCTATCTCCTGGTAGTCGCGCTGGTATCGCGCATTTACAGCCTCGAGCAGCTCTTGCTCCTGTGCCTGCACATGCTCTACTACCTGGCGCACGCGCGCACGGATCCGCGCCTCGGTGTCTGCGCGTGCGTGGTCCAGCTGGCCTATGGCTGAGCGCATCTGTGCGTAAGCATCGTCGAAGGTCTTGTCCTGTTCCTGTAGCTCCTGAATCATGGTGCCCAGCTCCTCATGCCGCTGCTCGATCTCCTCACCAATTTCGCAATGGAGATTGCTGTGGCCGCGGTCCAGGTGCGCGCATGCGCAACACAAAGGCTTGGCGCAGCCTCTGCAGTAGATGCTGCGGACACATAAGACCCACATGCTGTTTCTCAGCTTATGCTTTTCCCACTCAGTGCCTATGGTTATGGTACTAGATCTAACCATAAAATACCACATGGTAAAAAGATACTACAGGACCAGCCAGATGGTTCACTGAGTCAAGGTGCTCGCAGCACCTGAGTTTGATCCCCAGAACCTTTAGGGTGGAAGGAGACAACCGATGTCTGCAAGCTGTCCTCTGACCTCTACACGTGTGCCATAGCACATGTGCGCCCACACATATACACACATAAAAAAAGGGTTAAAAAACCCACCACAGCAACAACTCCTCCACCCATGCAGTAATGCAGACGCATACGAAAAGCAATAACCACTGTCCACCGCTTCTTAACATGCCCTAACCCTAGCTCTGACCCTTCCCTGCCCACTCAGGCCCCGGGTGCGCATGGTATGGCTTCTTCCACACTCAAAGTGAGGCACCTGAGACGCGTGCCACTCCACCTCTGCAAGCACTGGCCAGGTACTTTTATTATTCTCTTTCACGGGTGAAGAAACGCAGCTACAATCACCTGGTCACTTCCTCCTCCAATCTTTCATTCAGGACATTCCTTTAGGTCCATAGGGACAAACCTAGTGTATTCTTTTTAATAGCTCCATTACAGCTACATGGACAATTGTGTAGTTCAACAGGCTCCCTATTAGCAAACACTCATCAGATTTCCTATTTGTGCAACTTTCTTTCTTTCTTCTCTCTTTTATTTTTTGACTGACATGAACAGTGATCTAATAGCATAACATCCACGTTGAGCAGCCTAATGTATGGATAAAATGTATTTCTCTCTATGAAATAGGGCACAAATAATATATTGCTAGACCAAAGATTGTATATCTCTTAATGTTTTATGCACATAAAATATTAATTATTAGTAAGTATGTAATATCATGATTATGATAATTAGTTGTATGTTTCCAGTTCTACAATGTACATCACAGCACCATGGTGTACATGATAAATATATATATATAATTTTATTAGTCAATTTAATATGCATATAGGCCAACAGACTTCCACAGAATTTACTGTAATCATTCTAGCTAGTTTTTAAATACGTTACAAGGTAAAGGGACTTTAAAATGTATGATTAAATTAAGGATCTTGAGATTATAGGAATTGCAGAGATGGCTCAGCGGCTCAGAGCTCAGCGGTTCTTGCAGCGGTCCGCAGTTTGATTCCCAGCACCTACATGGCAGCTCACAACCGGCTGTAACTCCGGTTCCAGGAGATCTGATGCTCTCTTATGTCTCTTATGGTCCCAAGTACACATGTGGCTCACATACATATATCCAGGCAAAACACATAAAATAAACAAACCAGTCTTTAAAGGTGTTTAAAAAGAATTAAAACTGAGAGATTATTCTGAATTATCTGGGTGTTAGCTCAAGAGTTGTAATAAAAGAAGGGAGGTGGGCGAGTGATGTGCTCTCTCCGGCTTCGGACAACATGTCTGAAGGAGCATGGGCAGCACAGAAGCAGGAAAATGGATTGTCTCCAAGAGTCTGCCAAGGAAGCCAAACTGTGCTGCAACTTTAACTTAACCTCAGACCCATTTCAAATGTCTGGAGTCCAGAGGGGCAAGATAAGGGACCTGGCTGAATGAGTGAGCTCTGTCTCAAAAAATAAACTGGAGAGCAACAGAGAAGATTCTAACATCAGCTTCCAGTTTACAAACACACACACAACCATGCAAACATACAGTCACGTACACATACGCACAGTCACACATGCATAGCCACACACAAAGACACACACGCATGCACACACACAGTTGTGCACAGAGTCACGTACACACACAGTCACGCACACAAAGAAATAAAACAAGCTTTATTCTATAGACAAGAACATTGAGTTATTTTTCTCAAATCTGATCTATTCACTAAATGAAATGACAAAATAGACTATCCAAAATAATCAGTTAAGGTCATGGGTTAAAAAGGACGGGGTGGATATTCAGTTAGAGACTAAGATAATAATGGCATGCCACTATATTCAATAAGTAACAAATCAAGACAACCAACTCTGCCATTTACTTACGCCCATCTTGAAATACCATGCTAATCTTAACAGCTTTGTGAGAATATGTTCAAAATGTAAGCTATGACATACCAGGAATTTGTTATAAAGTTCAATGACCAAAATTCATCATTAAATGTTAACAGAGCCGGGAGTGGTGGTACACGCCTTTAATCCCAGCACTTGGGAGGCAGAGACAGGTGGATCACTGTGAGTTCAAGGCCAACCTGGTCTACAAATCAAGTTCAGCACAGCTAAGACTACACAGAGAAACGCTGTCTCAAAAAACCAAAAACCAAAACCAAAAGAACAAAAAAACCCAACAACAACAAAAAATGAAAACAGAAAAATTTTAAAAAATGTTAACAGAATCTGGTGATATACGAAATAGACAGTGATTCCCTATGTGACACAAGCTATTCTGGAATTATCAAGTAAGTTATGAAAATGATTAGTATGTGGCTTTACCTGTATATGGTAGTTCTAATCTTTGTTACCCACTCAAATGATGTTAAGTAAGTTCCCTTCAAAGCATAGTGATATTGTTAGGTTATTAATAAGAGAACACTTAAAAGTAATAAAGTAAAAGGTGTAGTGTTAATGGTAGCAAAGCAAGAAAAAAGATAAGAAGGAAGAAAAGGAGAAAGAGTAATGTAGGAAAACACCACTGAAATAAACAGAAGTTTCAGATTGTTCCAGAATAATCTGATACAAAATGCTCACCATCAAGAGAGCTTGGATGTCTTAGTTAGGTTTCTATTGCTGTGATGAAACACCATGACTAAAGCAACTTGGGGAGGAAAGGGTTTATTTGGCTTACACTTCCACAGCACTGTTCATCACTGAAGGAAGTCAGGACAGGAGCTCAAGCAGGGCAGGAACCGGGAGGCAGTAGCTGATACAGAGACCATGGAGGATGCTGCTTACTGTGATCCTCATGGCTTGCTCTGCCTGCCTCCTTATAGAACACAGGACCACCAGCCTGGGTTGGTCTGGGTTCACAATGGACTGGGCCCTCCCACACTGATCACTAATTAAGAAAATGTCCTACAGGCTTGCCCACAGCCCAATGTCACAGACACATTTTCCCAGCTGAGGCTCCCTCCTCTCCAGTGACTCCAGTTTGGGTCAAGTTAACATATTAGCCAGCACACTGGTTAACTAACAATTTCCAAGAATAAGAAACATCTTTGGGCACGAAGGCAGAAAAGGGGATGCTGGGGAGATGGCTCAGTGCTTGCTGTACAAGCATGGGGACCTGAGTTTGGATCCTCAGAACCTGTGTAAAAAGGTTGGTATAAGAGTGAATAGACAGGATGAGCGCCATGATCAGACAGACCACACCTCAAAAAGTAAGGTGAAGATCAAAAGAAGACAGCCAGTGTCAACCTCTGCCTCCATACGTACATGTATGAGCACGCTCACCCACACAACCATGTAATCTGCACGTATGTTCACTCACACATACATTTTCTCACACACACAGAGAGAGAGAGAGGACACAGATTGGAGATCAGAGGACAACTTGCAGGAGACATTTCTGTCTTTCTACCACGTGGCCTCTGGGATCAAGTCATCAGCCTTGGGGGCAAGTGATCTTACCACTGGGTCATCTTGCCAGCCCTTCTAATAATTTTTTTAAGATTTATTTATTATTTATACATTATTATGCTTGCATCTATGCCTGCATACCAGAAGAGAGCACCAGATCTCATTATAGATGGTTATGAACCACCATGTGGTTGCTGGGAATTGAACCTAGGACCTTTGAAAGAACAGCTCGTGCTCTTTAACCTCTGAGCCATCTCTCCAGCCCTCTAATAATTTTTTTCTTTTTTTTTTTTTTTTTTTTTTTTGGTAAGCTTGGAGGAATCTTTTTGGAAGGTTGGTCTTTCTTTCTTTGTCTTCCTTTTTTGGTGACTGGAGGTTGAAGCCACACCCTCATGCAACTCAGCCGATACTCCACCACTGAGCTACATCTCCAGCCCCCACACATACTTTGAATTTGCAAGTCTAATTTGTTTTTCTGTTAAATTCAAGAAAAAAGAAACTTTACGTTGCTTTAGTGGCCTGCTTCCTTTGAACAGTGCAGTTCTAAAGGAAAACACACCCTGGGTTCTAGACAAGCAACCTGCAGGACCCTTCTGCTAGCTACAGGCCAGAGGACGAGAGAGGCCACACTGTGCGGTCAAGAGTACTTCATTCTGTCCTGTCCTGGGGTGGGACTTCCCTCCTTCAAGTCAGCTCTATGAACTACCTGACTTCCGATTTCAGTCTCCTTTGGGCAGTGGAAACCGTCTTAGCTGAGGGTCAGGGATAGAGAGAACATCTCAGAAAATGGGCGGATGCCGTACTGTGGGAGGAAGGAAGGTAGAATCAAATCCAACACCCCATTCTGCAACTCCACTGGAAAGGGCTCCTAGGAGTCTGGGTGCTTTACCCGATGCCAGCTACAGTCCTGTCCTTTGCCCTCATTTCTGCCCATACCTGGCACTTTATTTTCTTTGATTCCTTTGCAGTAGCCACTTTTCTGAGATACAGTAAAGGCATTTTCCCTTCCTGACAACAGTATGGAATCGGCCTTCCTTTTAGGGAGGATACAGCCACAACTCTGGCACAGGCCAAACTGAGTTAGCCCCTAGCATTCTGAGCAGCTTTTCAAGGAGATAATTTGACCCACTGGAGAGAATACTCAGCTTTGAGTTTGTGCGACAATTTCTTGTTCCCACCCCCCAGGACTCAAGGTTAGCTTTATGTAACCTCCTTAGCACTTGCAATTCTCTAGCAGCCCTGAGGAGAGAGGCTTTTGTAGATAGAGTGGCCTTGGCAGAAAGCTAGGCCACAGAAATGCAAAGCCTTCCTGTTGTGACAGGATCTATTAGGCCCAGGTCAGGTGCCTGACCACCTTCCTGGCTTAAACAGGCTATCAATCATTTTACACTCCAGAACATAGTTAAACATTTCTCTCTCGTTTTTACAAATTGCTTTTCATGAAAGTCACAGAGATCAACATACCTCTCCAAAGTATGAAGTAAAGACTGTCTCTTTTTATCAAGGCTCCCTAATCCCTTCATAATCAGTGCCCATCATGAAGTAAACTGTTGCCGCCCTAATTGATTGTTCAGTGGGTGCACAGACAGACAGACAGAGGTGGTTCCAGTCAGCTTCATTTTATGAGTTAGGAATCAATGAGAAAAGTCTGTTAACATTAAGTCTCACTGTTAACCACTCTTTTACGCCTTCCAGGGGATCACGCCTCATCCCTGAGCAGCTAAACCCAGAGCTGCAGAGGAGCAATCAGTCTTTTCAGGGACTTACCCCCCAGCCCTAATCCTGCCTTGAATTATTTTAAATTCTGTTTTTTTTCCTCTGAAACATCACAAGGCCAGGTGTGTAGGGGAATATCTTTTATACACACAACAGCCTACCAAATGGACTGTGGCTATTACTGGGTCTGAAACCAAGTCTCCTGGCTAAGCGTGTTTGAAAACCGAGAGAGGAGTCATTTGCTATCCTTTCTGTTATGTTGTCTAGTCACTGGCAGCAGCCTTTCTTCTGCGATGTGGCGGTGCTTCTTCCTGGCCAGAAATCAGTCTTAGTACCACCACTGAGCCCCAGGAAGATGCAATGCACTAAAACTTTCATAGAGACGGGTGGGTTGTTGGTTAGTAAGGGTGGGAACAGGCAGGGCTAGGAAGGAAGTGGCAGCAAGGCATCCAGGGTGCAAAGCTGAGGTAGATTCTGCCTGAGGGTTAATTCCGACCAGACAGGTGGATGTCTCCTTCAGGTCTGTAGCCTGGCACCTGGCTTGCCCGCTACAGTTGCCATGCTAAGCGGAACCACCAGCACGTGCCCCTTTAACAGCAGGCAGCTCTTCCAGGCTTTGTCACAGCTTTGCCGCCTGGAGCTGCCTTTCTGTCACCTGTTGCCAGCCATTCCAGCTTCTCATCTTGGAGACTTTCCCCTGGTCTTCTGATCCCATCGCTCCTCTTTAATTTGATTAATAAGTCTTTTATTTTCTCCATACAGTTATAGTAACCTCCCATTGACTTTGATGGCCCTGGATGAATTCCCATCCCCCAACCCACCAAACTTTAGGCTCTGACATCCAACTACAGAGATCCCTAGATCCCTGTCACTGAAAGGCCTCTCGGGTGAGCCTCTGGTCCTACGGGCTCTGACAGTGTGAGACCAGTCTTTCGCCTCCCCTCCTTCTCCCACAGACCTCAATTTTTCTCAAACTAAGATGGATTTCTGGCCAGGAAGGAGCACCACCACATGGCAGAAAAATAGGCTGCTGCCAGCGGTTGGACAACATAACAGAAAGGATAGCAAATGACTCCTTTCTCAGTTTTTGAATGCACTTACCTGGGAGACTTGGTATCAGACCCAGTAATAGCCACAGTCTATTTGGTAGGATGCTGTGAGTATAAGAGATTCCCCCCCACACCTGGCCTTGTGATGTTTCAGAGAAAAAACAGAGAATGTGAAATGACTCAGGGCAGAAAGGGGCTTCCTCTCCCCTCCAGATTCTACACTTTGGTTTCTGAACATATCAGACATATGGCAATAAGTCCTGTCAAAATCTTTATGAACAAGGGTGAAAGAAAAGCAAGAATGCAGCTAAATGAATAAATATTGGCCTTACAGCTGCCAACTGCCCACTTGAGATAAGAACCAGAGTGCAAGGAGAGGATCAAGCCATGAGTTCAAGCACTGTGTTGTCTCATTAACACTACAGCGATTCAATGACAAGACATGAATGTATGCATGAAAAAAAGGAACAAGCTGAGCGGGTTGAATGTTCTGGAAAGTGTGAAATAAACTCACAATCTCAATTGGTTATCGTGGCAAACGCCTTAATCTCAGCATTCAGTCGGCAGGGGCAAGTGGATCTCTGTGAGTTTGAGGCCAGCACAGTGTACAAAGCAAGTCCAGGACAGCCAGGCTGCATAGAGAAACCCTGTCTCAAAAACAAACAAACAAACAAAGAATCATAACTTCTCACAAGCCCACCTGTCTGACCCCAGCTCATCTTTCTTGTCTCTGTATAGTGCAATTTCTAAAGCTCACACGAAGTGCTCTACCTTGCACACGAAGCCTTCCTCCTTCTGACCTTTCTCTTTCCTTTCACAGGGGGTGGGCACTGCTAATCTAAGTCAACGAGATACTCTCTTGGAAGTTTCCCCCTGTCCATCCAGGCTGCGCAGGTGCTTTTCCACAATCTTCCCACACATTAGCTATCAGCGTCCTGAGCAGGTGACACTGTCAAGCAAACATAACAGAAGGGACGGTGTAAGCACAGCCACTGTGAAAACTCAGTTAGATGGTTAGTGAGACCTTGTAACTCTGCTAACTTTGCTGCTCACTGTTGGTTCGGTTTGTCCGCCCCAGATAGCCAAGAAGGCAAGGCTAGATCTGTTTGAACTCCTGCTCCCCCGTCAATACTTGAGAGAGAACATGGCACGCTACAGGCAGGCGTGACGTGATGGTGAGCTGAAACAGTCCACTCGCAGGCAGGGTGAGTAATGCCAATGACTTGAAAGCAGACCCCAACCTCATTTAAAGCCTCCTTTTGTGCTGCTTCCCAGCCTGAGCTACTTGTCAGCTCAATGACAGAGGCCAGGGTGGTTTATTTTGACTTGTGGCCAGAGGGAAATTGTGGGTTATTTATGGTGCTAAGGTTGGTGAAAAAAATAACGAGCTTTTCCATGACCACCAGTTGAAAACAAAAACAAACAAACAAAAAATAGCAACCCAAGACAGTGACAAAGGAACAACAGCCAAAATTGTCCCCTGGCCTCCATGCTCAAGAGCACACAAGCATACAGTCCATATTGTACCTGTACAGACTTTTTAATCATTACTTCCAATATTAAAGTATGAAAATTATTTATATAATATTTATATTTTTTAGCATTATAAGCCTTTTTTAAACCTGTTTTTTGTTGTTTTTAATATATTTTTTTTATTTATACAGTATTCTGTCTGCATGTGTGTCTGTAGAACAGAAGAGGGCACCAGGTCGAATTATAGGTGGTTATGAGTCACCTTGTGGTTGCTGGGAATTGAACTCAGAACCTTTGGGAAGAGCAGCCAGTGCTCTTAACCTTTGAGCCATCTCTCCAGCCCACCTTTTTTTTTTTTTTTAAAGACAGGGTCTCTCTCTGTTGCACTGGCTGACCTGGAACTTGCTATGTAGACTAGACTGTACTCAAACTCACAAAAGAATTGCCTGCCTCTGGCACCTCAGTGCTGGTATCAAATGCATCCTGGATTATGAGTAATCTTGAAGTGGTTTGGAGTTTGCAGGTAGATGAGCACTTCTCTGGGGGGTTGGGAAAATCAATCACCCCCTTGGTTATGATGGAGGCCTGCATTATCATGATTAAATAAATGAAAGATTACAAATTAAAGAGATTACTATAAAACAGACAGCAAAACCTAACGCAAAAAACATACACACTGCAACCTAAACTGATTACACTTCCTGTTACAGAGAATAGCCTAATTAAAATATCTCAAAATGTAACCCAGCTAAGGAATAAAATTAATAGTATATCATGATCTGAGTTGAGTTTCTCTTCTAAGGCCCAAAATCCAGTTCAAAGAAAAGACTGATTTAATTTATCATACAAAAAGACCACAGAACATATAAGCGATTATTTTTAACATAGGCTTGAGTTCTTCCTTTGAGAGATTCAAAGTCATACACTGAGAAAGAGAGAGAGAGAGAAAGAGAGAGATTTGATTGCCTAAAACTAAAGAGTTATTTTAAATATAATACACAATACCACACACTAAGTGAAATAATACCACAACAGATTCTTACAGAGGACCAACTCTTCAAAGGAAATTAAAACAAGGATCTGAACAGGCAATTCACAAAGAAAGGAACACAAGGGCCAATAAACAGACAGAAAAGCCATTTGATCTTAACAGTCCATAATGAAATGCAAATTAAGCAGCAATATATGCTGCAGAGGAACCCAGCAAGGGACCAGCAAGCATTCTCCTTGTGAGAATCTGGAAGGAAGCGCCTGTAGTCCAGAGTTAGTAGGTTAAGGGGTATCCCAAATGAGGAAACGCTTTCTGATGCCTTTGATTTCTTAGAAGCTATTAGCCCCTACTAGGAAAAGCTGTATGCAAGCGATCTATTTCTGAGTGGGCAGAAGTTTGTCTGTCATATACTACTTTATTGGCTAAAAGGGAGGAAGCAAGCCCTTATAAGGTTACCCGACCTGCATGTATATTCACAAAGAAACTTAGAGAGGAAGCATTCAAAATTAGTAACTGCAGCTGCCCTCTGTGGGGGAAGGAAAGTGTTGAAAACCAAGCAGATGGGAATGGAATGGAGACAGCACTCTCTTTTATTTAGCATAAATTTGTTTGTGAGCCTTATAAATATATTCCCTATATAAACATGAAATTAAAATATGCTGCTTAACAAAAATAATTTTAAATGAATTCCTTTTTTCTTTTTCTTTGTTCTTTCATGTGAACACTTTCTGATACCACTCGCCCATGCTATAGTTTGGACTTTTCAAACACTATTTACCTGCCCTTTCTCCTAACACCCAGTCATGGGGCCCCCGGAGGAAGAGTCCACGCCTATGACATCTAAAGTACTGTGGTGACTGAACTAAAACGTACTGTTTCTTCACCTCACTTGCAATGGCACTCTGACTTTTTTTTATCCTAAAGACATACTAGGGAGGGAGGGGCACCCTCGGGATGCAAAGTAAATAAACTAATATAAAAAAATTTAAAAAGACATACTAGAAAAGGGATCAAGGATGATTTGCAGCTTTGTATATTTCTGGGGGTGAGGGGGTATTAGAAACCACTACAAGCCAGCGGAACCCATTTCGAGCGATAGGTTCTCTAAAGCTCCCACCCCCTGGCTCCCGGATGCTTCACTCACTTGGTCTGCGTAGGGGTGCGGTGGCTGGAGTTGGAGCAGAAGATGTTGGACTTGCGCGTACCGTCGAGGAACTCGCGCACTGAGCTGCTGCGGAGCTCGGCCAGGGGACGGGCCTCATGCTTGAGGTACCACTGGTGTGCATCGAAGCACTTGCCGCACATGAGCTGCTCGCACTCGAAACACCAGAAGTCAGCAGACTCTTTGCAGCGCGTGCACGCAGCCTGCGCGTCCATGATCTGCCGGAACACCGCCAGGCGCCGCTGCAGGCTCTCGAAGAACACATTATCCAGGGCCTCCGCATCAGCACTGGCCGGCCCGGGCGCTTGGCAGATGGGGCACAGGAGGCCCGGCGCCTCCAGGCATCCCGAGCAGAGCGTGTGCAGGCAAGGCAGCAGCTTGGGGCACTTGGCTTGGGCCTGGCAGCCCGGGCAGCGCAGAAACTGGAATTCTTCCTTCATGGCTTGCTGGTGAACCAAGGAGGGAAATGAGGCCTAGAGAAACCGCAGAAGTCCTGTCCCCTGACTGGCCGCCCATCCCTTCAGCTGGAGGCTAGAGTGGCTAGGACCTCACATTCCATTCCAGGGAGTCGTTGGATCATGTCCTGGCTCATCAGCACCCCAGTTCCTCATCTACTCCAGCCTTGCAGCTCTCACTGCTCAATTTACAGGGAAGCTGTCTACTTCCTAGTAGGCCCTTTGCCTTCAAGGGATTCAAGTTTGGAAAAGCACGAACTTCGTTATAAAGAGCTTAGCACAGTTTGGGGGTGGTCCTCAAAACGTTATAAATAGGACTACCATATGACCAGAACTTCCACCTTTCATATATACCCCAGAAGAACCGGGGAGGAATGATCCAAGCAGATACTGCTATGCTAACGTGCCTAGCAGCACTAACCACAAAAGTCACAGGTGTCAATTAGCACAGAATGTGTCTGCGCAATATAATGAAACATCCTTTAAAAAGGGATGGAATCCTGATACATGCAAAAACATGGATGAGCCTTGGAGACGTTATGGTCAGTGACATGTGCCCGGAATAGAACGAGCAATAATGTGTGTTCCATTTACACGAGATATCAAGGCTATTTAAGTTCATAGAAACAGAAAGACGAGCTATTGTTTAAGGGCACAAAGTGCTCGGCACAGTGCTTGGCACCTGATACCCGCCCATAAGTGTTAACTAGCCTTTTTAATTCTTAGCCATGTAATGCTAACAACAAGTTATGGCAATGTGGCATTGTTTGTGCTTTTGTGAAGGGAAAAGTGAGGAAGAGGCCTGAGGTAGCTCCTTTGCAGCTAAGTATGGAAGGTTGAGGCAAAACTTCCAGGAGGACCAAGAACCAGGCTTCCTTAAGTGAAGCTATGTGAGCTCGGTTCATGCCTTTCATCCCAGCACTCAGAAGGCAGAGGCAGGTCTCTGAGTCTGAAGCCAGCCTGGTTTCCAGAGCAAGCTCCAGCCCAGTCAAGGCTACAGAGTGAGACCCTGTCTCAAAAAAGGAAAACAAACAAACAATTCCCTAAACTTCACACATATGAAGTAAAAATAAATCTATGAAAATCAAAAGAGAAAGAACCACATGAGTCGTGTTGATTTTAGCCAAGACAGCACTTTGGTCTGAGCCACATTTTGTTTGTGGTGTGTTGTATAGTTTTGCCATGTCTGGGGCATGCCTTTAGCTCCCGGCCAGGGCAAAGGGGACGGCTGGCCTTCTCCCTGGACTGTATGTGATCTTTCATCTGAGGCAGGAGCTAAATGCAAAGCTCCAGGGAGTAGGAGTGGCGCACCCCATTACAACCCAGCTATCCCCAGGGCTACCTTAACTCATCCTGGTTCCTTTTTGAATTCCATTTTATCAGTTCTACCCCTTCCCAGCCAGGACCTTGGTGTCACTTTAGGATACTAAGTCACCTTTCTATAAAGAACTCCATTCTCAACTTCCCCACCAAAGTAAACCAATAAAACCTTAACAGAACTTCATCTCTTAACCCAGTAGTACCTCCTCGGGGCTTTGGTTGTGTTCATGGTCTTCGGAAGGGTCCTCTGGAGGAGGCATGGTGGGCGTGGGGGTCAGGGCAGGGTCCTGTTGGAGGCAGGAAGATCCCGAGGATGCGGGCGCCTTCTGCATGGAGACCGGTGCAGTTTCGATTTCGGAATTGGGTCTGTGAGGGCGGGAAATGAACCTTAGACTTGAGCCAGAAAACTGAGGAGCCTGAGCTGTCCAGAGGGGAGGTGCCCGCGGAGGGCCCGCCTCCCGAGAGGAAGTGAGACAGGGCTGGGCGGGTCTAGGGGCGGAGTTCTGAAGTCAACCTTCGGGAGTTAGGCGAAGAGAAATGATGGGGAGCTGGGGAGCCACTTCGGGTGGAGCCGGAGAGGTTAGCCAAACAAGCAAATAAACGAGCCCGGCGGAGTGGCAAGGTTCTGTAGCAGAAAGATCGCTAGTTTGACCGCTCTATGAAGATCCTGCCTCGCAAACAGCGTGCACACCCGGAGAGATGCAGAACTGACCGCCTGACAGAAGCATGTCCCTGTTCCAGATCTGTCTGTGAGCTGTGACTCACCTCACAGCTTTGTATCTCCCCAGTTAAAGAGCCAGGTTCAGAAATAAAGCCCTCTTCGAGCGAGCTTCCAAACGGAGACTCCGACCCAGTATCGGGATGGGTCTACCCGGGAAGGCATCCCTCAGCTGAGAATGGAACATGCTGTAGGAGGGTCCCCGGGGACTCAGGGTTGCGGAGACGCTTCAAAGAGAGACGAGCACGTGGAAAGGAGTGGAGGTCTAAAACAGGACAGCCTGTTTGGAAAGCAGTCAGGGCCGTTTTCAGATTTGAGGTGGGGCTCCTGAAAAATAATACTGGAGAAGAAGACATTTCTGTTTCTTTAAAGAAATCTCTTTCCAGGAAGACCCATCCCAATACTGGGTTGCAGTGTCCACTTCGGGTGGCTTGGAAGCTCTCTCAAAAAGGGCGCTATTTCTGTACCCGCGCCTTGAAAGTGTGCCGTACTTCCAAGCTCACCAGTATCCCTTGGCCTTTAAAATGAGGCCATCAAACTAACAACAACCAAGTGCGGTGGGCGGTTGTGTCTATCATATTTTGTTAAGAATGTGTTTGTGCAATATTTGTGTTTTCTTTCCTTAATTTCTGTATCATGTGATGTAACATCAATTAAGAGCATATCAGTGGTTATCACATTTGAGATACTAAAAAAATATCCCTCAAGAGAAGTCACCTATTCTAAATTTATGTTTGCGGTTGTATGAGGGATAGTTATATCTTACCAGGTGTAATTATGATATGGTTGGCTATACGATGTGCTTGCAATTGTATGTGGGATAGTTATGTTTACAGTCCTATGCCTTGCTTACTGTTTTCATTTGGAAATTAATCATGACATAAAGAAATGTGTGTCAAGTTGATAAGGGGGAGTCTTATGATGGCGGATTCTTGGTTGTCAGCTTGACTACATCTGGAGTTAGCTAAGACACCAGCCATTCCTGGTACCAACTTGTCTTAGGGCTTTTCTTGCTGTGAGTAAACACCATGGCCAAAAACCAAGTTGTGAAGGAAAGGGTTTATTTTGCCTACACTTCCACACTGTAGTCCATTAACGAGGGACGCCAGGACAGGACCTCAGATAGGGAAGGAACCTGTAGGAAGGAGCTGCTGCAAAGGCCATTGAGGGCTGCTGCTTACTGGCTTGCTCCCCACGGCTTGCTCAGACTACTTATAGAACCCAGGACCACCAGCCCAGGGGTGGAACCACCCACATCAATCTCAACTTTATAGAGGCATTTTCTCAATTGGAGTTTCTTCCTCTCAGACGACTCTAGCCTGTGTCAAGGTGACATAAAATTAGCCAGCATAGCAGTCACGGGCAGGGGTCTGGGGAGGCAAGATTGGGAAAGCCTCACTCTTTGCTTGCTTTGTAAAATGCCCTCCTGCCAGCCTCCCCAGCATCCTATTGGAGTACATTTGCTACCTTTATGTAGGCTTTCTAAGGCCATGGAAGACAAGTAACCTGGAGTATAAGGAGTCTGATATAATGCTGTGATCATCCTGTAATGCCACACCCATTACCGCCTCCGACACCGACACCACCGCTGCCACCGCCGCGGTCTCTGCCTCCACCACTGCTACCACATCCTACCATGCTTCCTGAGGTGTCTGCACGTTGAATTTCACTTTTATACCAAAGTTCAGGCCCTCTGACTTCACCTTGTCCACAGTGACTTGGATCTGCCATCATTAAGCAAGTAAGTACATCACTCTCTATGACAGGCTCTGTTTTCTGGGCCGTGTTCAAACAAGACCAACTTGCTGACCATGCCAGAAGAAAGTCTAAATCTGGATAAAGCACATCTCTCAGTATGTTGAGTTTGGAGGAGTGGAGAAATGGCTCCTGTAATACTCCTTTAAAGTCAAATTTCTCTCCTCTTTTCCTAAGGCCAAGTAAGAGACCAGGAAGGAGGTGGTCAGGACCTCCTTGAGATTACACCCAAGGACACATTCCAAAACGGTGTGACCGCAGTTCTGTCCTCCTAGCGCAAGAGGTGCTGTGGGGAGACGGGTATGGACGCAGGCTGATTCCTGCTCCTGCGCAGCCTCTGTTCCTGGCGGCGCAAGTGAAGCCGGAAGCAGCGGAGGACGAGGCGGGGCGGAGCTGCGGCAAGCTGGGCAGTGCTGGTGTCTGGTGGAGGCTCGGGGCGTGTCCCGGTCGGAAGGCATGCTTGGCCGGTCCGGCTACCGGGCACTGCCCTTAGGGGATTTTGATCGTTTCCAGCAGTCGAGCTTCGGCTTTCTGGGTTCGCAAAAGGGCTGCTTGTCCCCAGAGCCGGGCGGCGTGGGGCCGGGGGCCGGTGAGTGGCTCCCCAGTTCGGCGGACCGGAGAGGGGCTGGCCAGTACCCCCAGACCTGTACTGTCTGCTCCTAGGAGGAGGGAGCATAAAGGGGATAGGATATGGGATGGGTGTCAAATAAGGCGTCTAGGTGGTACTACCGATTTGTCCTCACTAGGGCCACCAGCTGCAGCATTGGAACCAGCGCAGCCCCATCTTCCCGAACTTCAGCCCGCCACGTTACTATTTTTAGGATAACCCATCATGCATAGAAGAAAACAGGGTCCCAGGCAGAGCAAGCCACGAGCAACCTAAAGGCACCTGCAGAGAAATGGAAAAAGAGCCCCCTAGGGTAGCAGCGCGGGGACTAGCGTCTCCTGAGGACTGGTGCAGACGCACAGAACAGAAAGGCAGACCTGCAAACTGCGCAGCTTGTTTGCTTTGGCTTTCTAAAGCCTTCCGTGGCTCCTTTGGCTCACATTTCTCAGCCTGACCTTGGAGCGGTCGGGCCCTCTGTGGTTCCCCTGTATTGACACTACGTTGAAAGCTTTGGCATCGATGAATGAATCCCTCATATTCTGGCCCCTGTATTTAGGATTGCCTCTGACCAAGGTTTAGGATACCTTTTCTGAAGAGATCAGGAGTTAATTTGGGACTTAGAGAGCCCTTCAGGCAGGGGTCTCCTGAAAGATACAACAGACACACCCTTGTCATCTTCTTGTCTAGGACTGGGGAGGAGAGCAGAGAGCAAGATCACCCCAAATACAAGGGCTATTTGCTCAACACCCATTCTCGATCCTTGGTTCTTCAGGGGTCAAAATCCTTGGTTTTAGCCTCATCTTCCCAGCTTTTCCCTCCCGATGTCTTGAATTGAAATCCGCATAATTTTTTTTTTAGAGTATTAAAAGTGGGAATGAGGACTCAGCTAGAAAAGGGCTCTTCAGTCCCACTGCGACTCTTACTGACGAGCAATTAGCTTGATCCTTGTTAGCTGAGGCGTTCTCTCCATAAGGACCCTGAAGGCACACTTGTGGGGCTGTTGGTAGAATGTGTTAGTACCGCGTTGGTTCCACCCGGCATGAGTGCTCGGCTCCAGGTTTGGGTGGGCAGAACACATTGGACCAGGAGCTGTTGATTCGTGCTACATCCAGCAAAGTGGGCAGGGCATGGATGGTGTCCTCTGATTCAGGATATCCAGGATCGAAAAGCCTCGTGTCGGGTGCTGTACGGGTGGTTGTGATGGAGGCCCCTAGCTACCTGTGGGGAACCTCTGAAGGTATACACGTGGCCCACTGCACCTGTGGTCCGCTGACCTTGGAGTCATCCTGCCAGGCCCACACGGTGTTCTGTGGTTGCTTCTGCCTCTTTTGTTCCCAGATGCGCCGGAGAGCTGGCCCTCCTGTCTCTGCCATGGCCTCATCAGTTTCCTGGGGTTCTTGGTGCTGCTCCTGACCTTCCCCATTTCCGGCTGGTTTGCTCTGAAGGTAAGCTGGCTGGATGCTGTGGGGAGGTGGGATCCCCCATATTTGGCCCCTGGACTCCAAATATTGTTACACCTCTATGAAATAGGCCTTTTTTTTTTTTTTTTTTTTTTTTGATGGCTCCGCTTGACGTGCCTGTGAAGAGGGGTTACCTCCGTCCCTCAGCCACATCTTTGGGGGCATCTTGATTGCTGGATTAGTGTAGGAGAGCTCAGCCCCTGGGTACAGCCCCTCCACAGCTGGGCCTGAGCTAGCTGAGCAAGCATCGGTGGTGGGGGAAGGAGAGTAATCATCATTTCTCTATGGTCTCTACTTTATTTCTGCCCCCAGTTTCTTGCTTGAGTTCCTGTCTTAGCTTCCTTCAGTAAGTTAGCTTCCTTCTGTAACCTGGATGCCAAATAAACTCTTTCCTCCCCAAGTTTCTTTTGAGCACAGTGTTTCTCACAGCAACAGGAGAAACTAGGACAGTTCCCATCCTTCAGATGAGTAAACTGAAGCCCAGACATAATCAAAATCATCTTGGGAGCCAGTAAGGAACAGAAATAAGTTTTCTGAGTCCCAGAATCTGGACCTATACCTTTGCCAAGTCATCCTCCCTTTGGCTCAGGTCCAGTTGAAAGAAAAGGAGCCAGCATACTCAGCAAGAAATGAATAAGGAACTCGTGTCATTTCTCTTAAGGGGCGGTGCTTATAGGGAAGGATGAGAGATACAGTTGTAATCAAGCAGCAGGCCTGACCACTGCTTCAAGGGAAGCCCAGGCAAGCCTTCCCTTTTGCATGACCTCTGTTTTGTGGTCTAGAAAGGAGCACTGAGATGAACCCAGACCCTGCTTCTATAGTTCCACTGAAAGGAAAGCCCTGTGACCATGCATATGTGGCTTGGCCTCTCTAGGCCTTTAGTTCTCAATTTAGTCTTCATGACCTTTTGAGGGGCTCCAGGGATCTGAAGCTGATGAAGCCATTTTCTCCGGGCACTCGTTAGAGTGGCTGGCCTTTTCCTCAACTCACCCAAGAGCAAACAGTTCTCTGGAATGAGTCATGACTAGCTTCAGGCCATAGAGTTGAAATCTCTGGATCAAGTACTTGTGACTAAGACATGGCCTGCCACTGAGCGCTGTGTTCAGATCATGCCCCTTTCACTGAGGGGCTATGTGATCGTGCTGAGCCTGCCTCTGGGCTCAGTGTCTCCAAGCCCTTGTTCACTCATCTAAACGCAGCTGAGTGTGTTAGTATTTTGTCACGGTGGCAAAGAGTTAAAAGGGCAGGCTTAGTTTGGCTCTCAGCATCAGAAGTGTCAGCCCTTGGTTGTCAGCCCTTGGTGTGTTTGGGCTGAGCAGCACAATGGTGGGTGTATACCACAGGCAGGCCTTCACCTCACGGCAAAGAAAAAGGAAAGCAGGAAGTGGCTCATACATCATACACACCAAAGGATATTTGACTGGTAGGGTGAAGTGGGGAGAGCAGAGAGGGACCTGGCAAATGACATTGGCTAGCCTACGCAAACCACTTCTAAACCGTTTCATTTGTTGTCATGACCAGATCGTGCCCACCTATGAGAGGATGGTTGTATTTCGACTGGGCCGGATCCGTACCCCCCAGGGGCCTGGCATGGTTCTTCTCCTGCCCTTCATTGACTCCTTCCAGAGGGTGGATCTGAGGACCCGAGCCTTCAATGTTCCTCCTTGCAAGGTGAGGGGCATTTCTGCTGCCCTGCACAGAAGGAATGGGGCGTGCGTATGATGAATTGTGGGAATACCTCTGCTTTCACTCCCACACCTGACTCCACCTACTTGGAGATACCGCTTTGCCTTTGAGGAGCAAGCTGCCAGACAGGTGGGGCAAGCTGTATAGTCTCAGTAGGTATGACCTCCCAGTAACCTTTGGCCTTTTATATGTTATCTCTATCATGGCCTTCTGAAACAGTTGGCCTCTAAGGATGGGGCTGTGCTATCTGTGGGAGCTGACGTCCAGTTCCGCATCTGGGATCCAGTGTTATCCGTGATGGCTGTGAAGGACCTCAACACAGCCACTCGCATGACAGCCCACAATGCCATGACCAAGGCTCTGCTCAGGAGGCCACTGCAAGAGATCCAGATGGAGAAGCTCAAGATCGGGGACCAGCTCCTAGTAGGTACCATCTTACAACATGTGGCTCAGGGTCTGGCAGCAGGGCCTGGCTTTCTCTGCTGGGTCTTGGCTCACTATGTCTCAACACTAGGAGAATCTGGGTGAGACCCAAAGTTGAGGATCAGAAGGTGGCTCAGAGCATACACATCCTGAACACATATGTTCTGAAAAGAAGAAGTGCTCTAGGGGAAATTTTTGGGCCCTGCTTATGATTACTACGGTGTTACCCCTCACTGCTGCTGTGATCACAGCCCTGGGCCTGGAGCCCTCTGTAGTTTCCATTCTGGTGGGTGGGAGGAACAGGGCCCTCTGGATGTCCCAGGTGCTTGAGATTCCTGCACAAGCATTTCTGTTGGCTTTTTTTTTTTTTTTTTTTTTTTTTTTTTTTTTTTTTTTTTCTTGTTTGGAGCAGAACAGAGACATGGGGGCACTGAGTCTTTTTCTGGCTTTTGTTCTACATGTATGAAAAGTTAGCTACACTAAATTTACCTTCTTTCCTGTCTGCTACATGTGCCAGTGGCATGTCCCTCCCATACCCAGCTTGTGCTTCCTGTCCTGTTTGGCCTGACGTTTATCCACCTTCATCAAGCACCCCCCCCCCACACACACACACTCTGGAGTAGGGTCGAGCCACAACAGTGGTCCTTGTGGCACAGTGGTTGTTTTGTTGTTTGGGGCAATGCCAGTTGGGGATGGAACCCAGGGCTATGAGCATGCAGGATAAGCATTCTGCCACTGAGCCCACTGGCCCCAGGCCCAGCCTTTTCTGGCTTACAGACTCCTCTTACCTGCCCAATAGTATCTCTGCTTCCCATTTTTATTGTGAGAGGGCCAGTATTTGTTGTTTTAATGGGGGAGGGGGACCAAGGCTCAGAAATTATTCTACTTGGTTCTTAGAACCATTCACGGTTAAGGGCAGTGCTGGACCAGAGCCAGACCATCTGCACCTACCCATAACCCAGTGTTCAGCTAACACAACTCATGGAATACATTGCTAGCAGATTTTCTTCATACAAGCACATCCCATTGTAATTCATCTCTAGGAGGATAAAATTGATCTTAAGCAAAGTATGAGAAGAACAGTTAGGGGAAAGTCCATATAGGATGTAAAAGTCATTAGGAACCATTACCCAGACTGACTTAGCTCCTGGTGCATTTGAGCTGAAAGGAACTATCAGGACCTATGTTATTGTCTCTCAAGCCCTGGCTAGAGAAGTGTACGCTTCCTACTCCCCTTTCCCATCCGTAAGGGCTGTAGACTCCCCTCTCACCTTTTCCTTAGCCTGCCATTGTAGTAGTCCTCCTGACCCCAAAATCCCTGAATAACAACTCATGAGACTCATTAAATAGTAAACAAATACCTAGGCTCTTGTGTGACTAGCTCATAACTTCAAATAACCCGTTATACTAATCTACATTCTGCAACATGGCTGGTTACCTGGGCTCAGGTACCGTGTGTCTATCATCCTCACAGGGAAGAGCCTCCAGGAGGGGAGCAGTAAGCACATAGTTACACAACTTGCAGGCTGAATCTTCCTGCACCTGCCTCTATCCCAGAATTCTTTCTGCCACGCAGGTGTTTCATCTCCTATTTCCTGCCCATAGGCCATCAGATTTATTATTGACAGGGTCTACATCCATACAATATACAAGATATTCCTGCTTCCCCAGTTGCATTCTGGCCAACAGCTTTTTGGCCCTCCACTGCTCTTCTGCAACTTCCTCAGCCCTTGCTCTCTGCCCCACCCTGCCTCTTCACAGAGAGACTCCACACAGAAGCTTCATACCCTCTGCTTCCCTCCTGGAGGCTCTTCCCTGTGCTGGCTGGGCCCTGGCTGGTCCTACTCTCTCCCAGAGATCTCAGCGATCCCAGGGATTCTTTTTACCTTCTCATTCAAGCTCTCACTCCTTCCCCCTAACTTCCAGAAGGTTCTGTCCCTCTCCCTCCATTCTTAGCCTGGGTTTTTCTCAGACTTATGAGATAGCTCTGCCTGTCACCAGTGACCTCCCTCTGGTCTGATGAGTGGGTGTTTCTCAGCCCTTTCCTTACTTCATCTCGTGGCAACATTCTTCTACTTCGGATCTCTCTGGCCCGCACACAGCCCCCAAGGTGCTTGGTCTCCTGCCCTACAATGCCCGGGTTTCTGTCATTGGCCTTCTCATTTTAGGCACATACCCCACACAGACCCTACACTCCCCGGGAGGATTCACTCCAGGACCCCCAGCAATACTGCTCTAGTCTGATGCCTGTGCACCCCACTCCTCTTTATCCTTTGGAGACTTCCTAAACCATCCTTACTAAACTGACAGTATTAAAATAGCTGTTATCCCGCCCCTCTCCATACCTGTGTGTCCTCTGCAGGTGCAAGCCATCATGATCTGCCCAAGAAACCATGCCAGGAGCCTGCCTTCCTCCACCCCTGTGCCATCTATGTTCATTGTATATCCTGTCTCCCTCTCCTGTGACTTTTTCAAAAGTTTACAAGGCAGGCTTCCTTGCTGCATCTGTCTCGCCACGCCATGCCGTGCTCCTCTGCTAGCTGCCCAGCCCCTGTAGTCTCTTGCGATTCAGTATGAAACCATTCTTCTACTCCCAATCCTCTCCTGCACAGTGTCCACGAAGCTAGGAGGATCTTTCTCTAAAAAGGGAGTCTGCTCAGTTGGCCAACTCCATGTCTACAAACTCTCTGGGATTCCTTGCTGTCTCAGAACAAATCCAACTGAGCAAAAAGAAGCTCCCTGGAACCCACAGTCTCACCAGGGCCCCAATCCATACTTGAGAATCTAAGTGGCGCTCTCTAGAGTCTACTCTCTGGGGTTTGCTGAGAAGGTTTCCTCTGCCTAGAGTCCCCACTTCCCTCTCCGGCTTAGCTCTAAGCTGGCCAAGCTGTTGGTGCTTTTCTGATATGTCTAGGAGACCTCCGTGTCCATGTGTGGCTATAGCGAGCTGCCTAGAGAAGGTGTTCAGGGAACCCTTATGAAATGACTCCCTTTCCCCTCTCTGCCCTCAGCTGGAGATCAATGACGTGACCAGAGCCTGGGGCCTGGAGGTGGATCGAGTAGAGCTAGCCGTGGAGGCTGTGCTTCAGCCGCCCCAAGACAGCGCAGCTGTGTCCGGCCCAGAAAGCACCCTCCAGCAGCTGGCACTCCACCTGCTGGGGGGAAGCACGAACACAGCAAACACAGCGGTAGGAGGTGTTCCATCCCCGGGGCCAGGTAAGGAGTGTGGCATGCTCACCAGCTCATCGCACAACAGGCTTCTTCTGGTTGTTTCAGCTGAGCTGATTCAGCCTACCCCATTTCTAGAGCCGACCATGGAGTTGAGGCCTCATGGAGAAAAGCCCAAGTGTGCAAGTATGGCCCTAGGTAGCTAGCCTCTGTGAGAAGAAGCTACAGTCCTGCTAAAGTAGCTGGAAGAAGGGTTGTGTGTTCAGGCCAGAGTAGCTTAGACTTACCCTTTGAGGTGTTTGCTGGGAGGCCAAAGGCAGCTTCTCGGGAGAGGAAGCCACTGCACAGAGCATGAAGGGCTCTAAGAAGAAACTTCACGAAGGGATGGAGTGCTCCTGACCTTTGCAAAACCCTGACCTGTCCTCTGCCTCCCCCTCCACCCTGTTGGCCACCAGTGGACACCTTGGAAATGATAAGTGAAGTGGAGCCACCTGCCTCTCATGCTGTGACTGAGCCCAGCCCGAAGCAGCCATTGGCCGAGGGGCTCCTTACTGCCCTGCAACCCTTCCTGTCAGAGGCACTGGTCAGCCAGGTGGGGGCCTGCTATCAGTTCAATGTCATCCTACCCAATGGCACGCAGAGTACCTACTTCCTGGACCTTACTACAGGTACGGCTGTCCTCCCTGCTCTCCCTTCCCACTCAGGTTGCTTGTGCCCTTCCCTGTGGTCCCTTAAAGGCTGTCCTCTGCTCCTGACAGCTGTTTGGAATGATGAACCCATAATGACAACCTGGGCTTTGGGCTCCCTGGGATCAGCAGGACAGCTCAGCCAGATAACCAGGAACCCTCATACATAGCCATAGCAGGCCTATCGCAGGCCAGGCGCTGCACTGAGCACTCCTGTCTGCTTGTCACTACTTTAGAACCTGCCCCAACCCCACCGTGTGTGCACGTGTTGTGGGGGGAGTTAATCTAGACCACACCCACAGCCCTAGAACCTGAACTAACCAGTGCTTGCTACTGTGAGTGGGGATGTGCTACCCTCCCCTCCTCATCTGGCATCCTCCTACTGATACTGATGCTACCTTCCAACAGGACAAGGCAGAGTGGGACATGGAGTGCCTGATGGCATCCCGGACGTGGTGGTGGAGATGGCTGAGGCAGACCTACAGGCCTTGTTGTGCAGGGAACTCCGGCCCTTGGGGGCCTACATGAGCGGCCGGCTAAAGGTGAAGGGTGACCTAGCCGTGGTCATGAAGCTGGAGGCTGTCCTCAAGGCCTTGAAGTAGCAGTATCTGTTGTCCATCCATCACCTAACCCTGAACCTGGTGCCCAGCCAGAGAAGCCTCGGGATAGGAGGTGGTGTTGGTTCAGGCCATGGAAAACTGAGGCCTGAAGATGTTTCAGGCCCAAGCAGGAGCCCGGGAGGCCAGGAGACATCTGCGACTGGTCATGGTGCGGTCAGGTGTCCTGTACTTTTGCCTGTGGTAGTTCTCTAGACAGGCCTTTGCTCATTCAATCCCCAACAAAGTGCCTAGTCCTGAGCTCACTACACAGTGAAGACAGACAGAGCCTGGCCTGCCCTACCCAGCTGATAACCTAACTGGAGAGAAGCGCAGAAGCGGCCTGCATGGCACCCATGTGAAGGACCAAAGCACGTGGATTATGGCTCTGAGATCCAGGAAGATCAGAGGGAAAGGAAGGGAAGGGAGTGCAGCCCCCAAGAAGGTTACTGCAGTGGATACAGGTGGACCCACCTTCCTATTGGCAGGCCAGATAGGCTAGGAGGGGAGGGTATGGGACAGAGCATTTTGCTTTTCCTGTGTGCCTGCACCTGAAGACGTGGCCTCGTCTACCAGCTCCAGCCTGCATGTTTGAGGAGCTGGGCTCAGGGCAGCATGAGGGAGAGCCCTACTGTCTGTGCTTACTAGAGACTTGGAGCCTCTGTCAAATAAATGTGGCGTTTATGATGTGGAGTGGAGAAGTGCAGCTGGCTATGAGGTATAGTGGGCCAGGGAGGGCCCTATGCCTAGCCAAGGGCCAAGGCTGGAGACTGACACAGGCTTTCAGAGCACCTGAAGCAATTCTTCCTGGGTGTCTTAAGCCCCGGAAGTCAGGGTGAGGTAGCTGTGGGTTGTTCTCTTGTTTCTTTTTATATTTGGGGAAACTGATTCCCCGGGGAAGTAAGGCCTAACTGCAAACACTAACTTCCTGAAGAGTGTGATGAGCGGCTCCTGATGTGTTCAGGAGTGGAGTCAGAGCCGCTGTGAGCAGCCCTATTGCTGTACTCAGATACGGTTGCTTCTGTGGATGATGAGAGAGACCCAGCTGAAGGCCTGGCTCTGGGCTCAGCTGGTTTCTGCTCCACTAGTAGAGCCCCAACTCAAGGCTAAGAAGTGAATCTTACATCCTGAGAGGTTTGTAGAGGAAAAAAAAACAAACGAACCAGCAAACCCACATCCTTCAGCTTGCCTTATGCTTTCCCCTGGGCCCTTTTACTGGTACCAGGCCTACAGTGTGTCCCTCTGTCCTTTCTAGTGCCAGATACTGTCTTGTATTATTGTATGTCGTTCCTCTGGCCTGGGCACTTCTCCCAGGGCCAGCACAGGCCCCACAGACAGTAGAGAGTCTCTTGAGGATATGGCCTTGTCTCTGTTCTCCTGGAGAGTTCTCTTGGACGCTCTAAAGCTTTCCCACTGGGGCTGTGTTCTAAAGCATTCTCCCACTGGCTGCCCAGTGGCCCCTAGAGCTTTCCCTCCTGCCTGAGCTCTCTTTCAGCTCTTACAGAACCATTCCTTTTTCTTTTCTTTTTACAGAATGCAGCTATCGTTACTATATTTTTTAAACAACTAGAATTTATTTTTTAACAAAATAAAATATATTAAGGTAAAATGAAAACCATCAAACCTAAGTTGGACAAGCCAAACCAGCAGAAAAATAAAAGAACCCCAAAAGAAATACAAGAATCAGAGACCCACTTGTTTATACATTCAGAGGTCCTAGAAAAGAACTAAATGAAAGTTATGGTATATTTTCAGAGGCCCTAGTGTAGAACTGTGCAGGCCCTATGCTAGCTGCTTTAGTCTCTGTGAGTTCATGCAAGCTTTGCTCTTCTGGTGTCCTTTTTCCCCTCTGTCTCCCCCTCTTCTTCCTCTTCCTCTTCCATGGTATTCCCTCCCCTGAGGGGAGGATTTGGTGGAGACATCCCATTTAGAGCTGTGTATTCCAAGGTCTTACTCTCCGTGTAATACCTGGCTGTGGGTCTTGTCCTTGCTTTTACCCTAAGTCTCTGGGCTATCTAGACTCCGGTTCTTGGTCACCCAAGCAGTATCAGCTATGGGTTCCATCTCGTGGAGTGGACATTAAGTCAATCAGACATGGTTGGTTACTCCCACAGGGTAAACATGCCCGAGCGTATTTCACAGGTGGGGCAGATTGTAGGTCAATGGTCTTGTGGTTGGTTTGTTACCTTTTCATGTCATAGACATTAGAACTTGAATGTTCTATGTAGACCCCAGCTGCGTAGGCCTCTCCATGTTTAACAAGAACTGTGGTTCTTTTCTGCAGCAATAGGGCCTTGCTGTCAGTTTGTGGAGAGAAACCTATTGTCTTGGCAACATCCTGGGTTGTTTGGGCATTTCCATGTGTCTTGGGGTTTCATTGCTTCCAAGAGACACCATGTCCATGGCAACTCTTATAAAGGAAAACATTTACTTGGGCTAGTTTACAGTGTCAGAGGTTTAGTCCATTACCATCATGGCAGGAAACATGGCAGCATATAGGCTAACACACGCAGTGCTGGAGACAGAGCTGAGAGTTCTACATCTTGATCCCCAGGCAGCAGAAAGAGACTGCCACACTGGACCTAGCTTGAGCGTATAAGACCTTAAAGCCCACACCTCCTACTAGTGCCACTTCCTATGGCCAAGCAGTCAAACACATGACTCTGTGGGGACCATTCCTGTTCAAACCACCACGCTATGGGGCCCTTTTGGCCAACAACTCATTTGGGTGAAACCTAGTCCTGAGTTCACTAGAAGCTTTGTTTGGTAACAGAGATGTCAAGTAGGGGTTCCATGTCCCCCATTGTTCAGAGATTATTAGAATCACCCTCGTGTATTATAGGAAGTTTCCACTGCACTAGGTTTCCATATCACCCTTAAAATGCCCATCAATTCCGGCGCCTCTCCCCCTGTTCCCTCCGTTAGTCCCATCTCCCTTCCCCTTTCCACCTGATCCTCCTGCTCTTGTCTTCTGAACCCCCTGCTTCAGTCCACCCATAATATCTATCCTATTTTCCCCTCCCGGGGAAGTCTATGTGACCACTCTAGTCCCCTTCTCTCTGCCTTACCTCTCTGGATTACAGCTTGGTTATCATTTATTTAATGACTAGTACCCAGACATAAGCAAATACATACCATGTTTATCTTTCTCAGTAATTACCTCACTCAGGATGATTCCCCCTAGTTCCGTCCATTTTCCTGCAAAGTTCATGATGTCATTTTTACATTTATTTATTTGTTTGTTTGTTTGTTTGTTTGTTTATTTTATTTGGGGAGTTGGTTTCAAGACACAGTTTTTCCATGTAACAGGCCTGGCTGTCAATGGAACTCACTTTGTAGACCAGGCTGGCCTCAGCTCACAGAGATCTGCCTGCCTCTTCCCCCTGAGTGCTGGGATCAAAGGGGTGCGCCATCACCTCTGATGACATCATTTTTAAAAATAGCTGAGTAATACGTCATTGTATAAATGTACTATATTTTCCTTATCTATTCTTCTGCTGAGGGACACCTAGGCTGTTTCCAATTCCTGGCTATTATGAATAGAGCAGCAATGAACGTGGGAGTCATTTCTTTCCTATGCTACCATTCTTCCCACTGGGCCATGAGCCACCTGTGAGCATTCGCCTGCCAGCGCCCTGCACCTAAGGCACCTGAGCCTCTTTCCATGCTCCCTCATGTACACTACTGTGGTGGCTGGCACTGTACCCTGGGAAGGTGTCAGCAGCAAAGATGAGATCATAGCTTAAGGAGAACTTGAGAAGATTAGCCTACCTGTTCCAGGAAATAGGCGCTTCTGTGTGTCTGCGTATGTGTAGGTAAGGCCTACACCAACTATTACTGTGGCCTGAGTGGGTGCCTCTCTGGGTGTGGCCAGCACTCCAGAGGTGTGGCCCGAAGGCTCCAGGGCCCCTGGGCTAGGAAGATAAGCAGACTGGGCAGTCCGCAGGGTAGGAAGCAGGAAAAGAAGATACAGGCTGGCACCTCTAATTTGAGTAGATGGAATTGAAATACAAGGGCAATACGCAGGGATCCTGAGGAGACAGACAGTAGCTCTTATTGTGTGCCAGCTATATCCTGCTGTACTCTGGGCAGACACTTCTGTTTTGTTCTCAAAATGATCTAGTAAGTAATAGTAATGGTTATTCCTTGCTAATTGATATGTAAATATAATGTGGTATTTTAGTGTCATTTAAAGTAAGTCCTCTCCCTCTCCCTCTCTCTGTGTGCGTGTGCGTTGTATGGCGAGACTGGGTTCTGGGTTCACAGCTCCAACTGCCTTAGTTCTTAATATGCATCCCAGGCTGAGCCCCAGCTTTCCCCCTACTGTCTCAGCCTGTGCTGGGATCTTGGGCATATGTCAACATTCATGTCAGTCTTTACGTTTTGAATAGGTGTCTCAGTTATTTGTCTGTTGCTGTGAAGAGACGCCATGACTGACTTATGAAAGAAAGATTTAATTGGAAGTTATAATTTCAGATGTGTCCATGGCCATCACGGTGGGGAGCATAATTGCAGGCAGGCAGGCGTGTTGCTGGGGCAGTAGCTGAGCGTCTTAGCAAGTAGGAGGCTGAGAGAGACACTGGGCATGGTGGCCCACCTCCAGTGACACACATCCTCCGCCCAGTAAGTCCACACCTCCTATCCTTCTCAAACAATTCTGCCAACTGGGGACCACGTATTTAAATACATGAGCCTATGGAGGTACCTCATCTCACTTAAACCACCACAATAGCTAATATGTCCACGTGGTGTTAAGGGGGGGTGGGCAGAGGGATGGCTCAGAGGTTACAAGCCCTGGCTGCTCTGCCAGGGGATCCAAATACCCACACGGCAGTTCAGAACTGCAACTCCAGTTCCAGTGGATCTGACACTCTTCTGGCCTGGGCACCAAGGATGCGTGTGACACACAGACATGCATGTAAGCAAAGCCCCAAACCCATACACTTGAGCTAATAATCACTTAAAGTTGTTAGGTTAAAGAGAAATTCTGTAGAGTGACTGACACCTCCCTCCACACAGCTTTGTCCTCCCTTAGTTTCTTGGCCATTCTTCCAGAAGGCTTTTTAAACGATCACGGTGCCCTTAGAGTTGCTCTCAGGTCTCTGTGCTCACTTGGGCTGAGCATAAGAAAACTGGCCTTGTAGCATCTAGCTGGCTTTAGACCCTGTGGGTACCCAAACCACGAGGCTTGCTACGAAGATGAAAATAAATCCTGCCACTCACCACGAGGGGCCAGAGTCACCTAGAAGAGAAAAAACTAGGGAGGGACTCCCAGAGGTCTCCCAGTCTCCCAGCCTCCCGCCCCCTAGTCTGATTGCCAAAGGAAACCTGAAGTGACCAGCCCGGAGTGTGGCGCCATCTAGTGGTTCCTGGGGGACAACAGCTTTTCTTCCAGTGAGGCTTTCAAGGATCCAGGAAAGGTTTTAAGGGCAGTGAAGCGCAAGTTGAGAAGCATCTCTAAGTATGGCCTTTGTTCCCACATCCTGGGGCAGAGCTCTTCAAACCCGGGACTGTCTTTGGTTATTCATAAGAAGCCTCTTCACACTGGAGTTAACCTAGCAAAATGGCTATCTAAGGGAATCTAGTGACAGGATGCAGGGTGCTCACCAGGAAAAGGAAGTATTTAGAGTTAGAACTTTCACTTGACTTCTAGGGAAGGGAGAGGGAACAGGGAATGAGCTCACATGACAGAT